CCGTTCTTTGGTACTGTCCATTTGATCCGATATAGCCTTGACCACATTCGCTTTAGCATACAGCAGCTCAGCGATCAGAGGAACAGCAGTAGATAATTAATCTACCAGCCTGCTCGTCACCTCATACACCTGAATCTTCTGGAAAGAAATCCGTGAAATGCTCTTTACTATTGCCACTTTTACACTGGACCTACATGACAGCCTTAGGTCAGTTATAAAACATCCAGCGAATTTCAAGTGTCGACTTTCGTCCTGGCATGTAAGTGCGCGCCACTGTACCACAGCGGCTCCCTCTTCAGATAGAAGGGCTAAGATAAACATTCTCTTGGAAGTGAGAAAATGACCGCATCGCCACAGAGAAGCATAAGATGAGTGTATGCGTTGGGCGTCATGATTTAAACATAAAACTGCACTGACCTTCAGCCGCAGAACCATGCGGGGTTTTGCTCGATCTGCTAGAAAGTCTTGCACTTACGTTATCTTCGTTGTCGGGTTCACCGACTCTGGAGAATTACGACAAAGTATCTCATTTACGGTATATGACGTTTGTCATATGCACACTTCCGCGCACACTTTAGAGATACCGCAGTTACAATGTGACGGTGTATAACTTGTCTACACTCAAGCATACTTTACACGCATTCATACAGTTATACTACGGATGTATTATAAAGTTACAATGTGACCGTCTATAACTTGTCATCTTTCACACATACTACCCCGCATTCATACATTATACTAAAAAGGTAATACAAAGGTTAAAAGTGACTCTGTATAGCCGTTGGATTTAGTCATGCATCCTCACATGCATACAGTTACACAGGGAGGTCAGACAAAATAAAACGGTAGCATTATACAAGTGTTGCCTCATGTGTTCATGCATTCATATGCTTACTCTGGGGGAGTAGGACAAATCTACACCGTGGCGGAGAGCATCTGCTGTTTTCACAAGCTCCCATACAATGAATAGGTGCACCAGAGAAGCATCACAAAGTGACTACATCACGGAGTACAAGGTCTGTCTTCCCCCACGTAACCAGTTCACATATTTATACAGCTACAGAACAGCACAGCCCCGTGTGGGCACCCCCTCAAAGTCAAAATGTTTCTACCTAAGATGCGATAAAGCAACAGTCTGCACACATATAATCTAGATCAGAATGTGCAAGCAAAACTCAAATTCTGCAACAAGACTAAAGTAGTGAAGTGGACGAACAACCAGAACTTTTATCAGGAGTGTACAGTCAGTGAACGCGAAGAAGGAGAACAGCCCGGGAAAGGTAGGACCTAACTGCAACACGAGAGCAGGCTACTTCCTGACTGTAGTGCTCCCGTATCAACTGTTGAATACGGTTGAACGGTATATCTGTATTTTGCTCCCGTTGGATTCAGCTCCGAAAAGTGTCTCCTTAAGTCATCGGGTGACAATCTTTCAGTCACATTTAAAAAAAAGCCACTTCGGCTGTGTTTGTCGCTAATTGTGATGTCCTGTGTCACGAGACGATCTCAGTGATTCCAGAAGTTAGTACTTGTAATCAGTTCTTCTGGTTCTAAAGAGACAGAATTATATTTACTTTGCGCTTTATCCTAATATTGCTTTAAACTGCACGGATTTAAATTGTTTCCAGTCCTTAGTCCAGACAAAGCGACTCAGTCTTGGGTAATGTTACACAATTACACCGGGGCTAGAGAATTCCCTTTCACATGCCCATGTCATAAATGTTATCTCCTGACCAGACTGCTTTGAACAGACTTTTGATGAGACTAGGGGTGTAGGTTTGATTCTCACGCCAGTGTCATAATGTTATCTCCTAACACAGCCTGAGTGGGGCCCTTTTGAAAGGGGAATTGAGCGGACTGTAGACATTGAGGCGAGGAGAAGTTTAAAGTTTAACACGTCAGTGTAATTCGGGGTAAACTAGATTGGGGCACTTAAGAATGTTTGCTCTAGGGATGTCAGTCCATAATTGACTGACAGGCCACTTGTTAGCTAATGTGATTTGATAGGTACTTCGGAGGAGGAGCTTAAGCCATCATCTTGAGGGTTGGGTAAAAACTAAGGAAAGGGAGGAGTTTAATTTGGACAATAGATTAATACTTATACTGCGAGCCTGTGGAATTCCCGTCATTAATCGCAGCCTGCCGGCAAACAAACAGGTCGACGTAAAGGTATATTTTACTGTCGTACTCTGGTTTGGCGATAAATGGGAAGTTCCCAGGTGAGAGAAAATATTAATTTTAATCTTGTATACTTAGGTTAGGGAGTTAAGCTTAGTCTATACTACCTTTTCCTAATTTGTCTGCACATTCTGCTTGAAATAGTTCTGTGAGTATTCAGTAGCTCAAGTTAAGGAACTGCTAAACTATTCCTATTTCTTGTATGTTTGTGTCACATGTTTTTCATTGTATGTTTTCATGTGTATAAAATAAGATGCGAACAATGACATTTGCTATAATGAAATGTAATTATATTGTTTTCACGATCAGCCAAAATATGAGTTGGGACTGTGGGAAATGATGCCCAAATATGTGCAGGGATGTTGCTACGTTTTGTGTGCCCACCATGTGCTCACTTAATGTGTTCACCTGAACAGGGGATTTATAACCTCAGGGGAAGAATGATGGGTGTATAGAATTCACTGTCACTGAAAGATAATATTCAGGACAGCGTGCACATATAAATTGTTTGCGTTTTCAGCACCTAACCTGCGCCACATGTTTATGTCAAATCTATGTCAGCCAACTCGAAGTCTGAGTGAAGACGGACAACAGACTTAGAAAGTCAACTATCATGACATATCATTTGAGGGAAGGCAGGAAATGTGACGCCCATGTAAGACAAAAGACCTTCAGACTAGACTGGAGAGGATGTGGAATAAGAGGAGTGATGGGCTATATCTTATTATTATATGTTGTATTAATTGATACATGTATTCTTAGTGTAAGTCAAGATACTACACGTATGTGTTTTGTTTCCATGATTACAGCGCCCATGTGACGATCAGTCCATGAAGTAGCCTACATTGTGTTAGACTCGGCCAGCTGGGAACGAGGGGGAGAACGAGGTGGGGGCGAGAAGGAGAAACAAGCAGGGAAGAAGCTGGAAGAGGAGGAAGAGCTTGACAGTGCTCACGGCTGTCAGAGGTTCTATGAAACTTGAGTTATGTTCATAAATTGTTCATACTTTATCACCTTCATCACACCACTCTAATCCCAGGTGCTGTTCTCGCGCTGAAACAACCCATTACTATCATAACTTTAGCTAGTCACTGTTTGTGTAAACACAACAAACTGGGTATGTCAATTAACTGATTGTTAGAAAATAAAGCTGTATGTCAAGTTTTACACTACATCGTATTCCAAGTGTATTCAGTCTTACCTGTTTAACTAAACATAGATAGAATTACATTTGGTGGGGGCTCAATTAATAATATAATAATTCTTTAATTATTTATAATAACACCGGGAGAAGGTAGATGACGGAGGAATCACTTGCCCTGTCTAATAATTCATTAAGTATGATAGACATCTAAAATTCCTTGCCTTCTCTTGTGGGTACCAAGTTCAGCTAATGTTAATGTACTTAACGAGCCAATATGGCTGTTTTCTTGGATATCCAGGACTTTGTCTGAGAGCAACATAGCTCAGACTTTAGTTCCGTTAATCTGGTGGAGGGAATGTGTTGAAAGGAAGATCCCTACTCAACAACATAAACATTTAAAACACGCGTCACGTCACATCCTGGTGGGGTTAAACATCAGTCAGTCACATTTAAAAAAAGCCACTTCGGCTGTGTTTGTCGCTAATTGTGATGTCCTGGTGGGGTTAAACATCAGTCAGTCACATTTAAAAAAAAGCCACTTCGGCTGTGTTTGTCGCTAATTGTGATGTCCTGGTGGGGTTAAACATCAGTCAGTCACATTTAAAAAAAGAGCCGCTACTTCGGGGGTGTGTTTGTTCGCTAATTGTGATGTCCTGGTGGGGTTAAACATCAGTCAGTCACATTTAAAAAAAAGCCACTTCGGCTGTGTTTGTCGCTCAGTGTGATGTCCTGGTGGGGTTAAACATCAGTCGGTCACATTTTAAAAAAAGCCACTTCGGCTGTGTTTTTCGCTCAGTGTGATGTCCTCGTGGGGTTAAACGTCAGTCGGTCACATAAAAAAGCCACTCCGGCTGTAACTCCTAATATAACCTAACGGTTAAACGAGATTTCTGCAACTTGTGCCAGTGTGATTCTCTCTCCTCGGAATAATGGAACTTTGTGTGCCTGTGTGTTTATCGCTCGGCGTGCAGGCCTGGTTGTATCGAAAGTCCTCCGCTACAATATGGGACGCACATTTGTTTATTTTTTGTTTGTTTGTTTGTGTGTGTGTTAAATTTCAAAGCCCTACTCCAGTTGTCGTCTGCGGTCCTAAATATAACCTAACGCTTGAACGGGGTTACTGAGACAAGTGCCCCGGCGATGCTTATCCGAATGATGGCACTTTGCGTCAGCAGGCCCCGTTAATCGCTCATTGTGCTTTCCTGGTGGAGTTGAACGTCACTACTCACACACACAAACATACACACACACACACACAACATAAAAAAAAAAGGCCCTGAACCGAATGATCAGCCTTGCTATACAAGAACTGATGTCATTTTGTGACTACATTACATATCGAGTGCTGATTGGTCTATGTCATTGATTGGTCCAACGTCACAAGCCGCTCTGGTTATTTGAGAAGCAAAGGACCATTTCTCCCAGGCTTTAGGCGTATTGAGAATAAAGAGCTAGACCTATATATATTTTTAAACCAATCGTCACTTGACTGGAAATGTATACCCGGTACCCGCTCTAGGCTGGAGACTGAGGTAATTTTTTTTTCTCCAAAAAAGTCCGGCTCCACCAGGTCCCGCACCAAAGACCTTCGATCTGCAGAGTCTAACCACTCCACCACCACAGAACCCTTAACAGAGAAGCTGACAAGCGATTAAAAACAATGGTATAAAGCTTTACTTCAAAAAAACTTCTTCCATCGTTGTGGCTGTAAGCCCGTAACTGATATTTTGAGGCGCGCCATCTGGGTGTCCAGCATGCGAAATAGATCGGCAAATTTCTTCGACTCGTTGTCAGGGAGCAAGTATGTGACTTCGGTGTTGACTAGAACCTCGAAGGTTGCTTTAGGGATGACCGACTGGATGACTGTAGTCAGGTTGCTGATGTCACAGGAAGGTTTAGTCACAACAACTAAATGATAGCCGGCACCTGAAAATGGATTAATAACTCTTCCAGTTGCAAGTCATTGCCGTGCAGTCATTAATAAGCTTGTCAGCCAGTTTGGTGGTCGTGTGTTTCAATCCAAGAAATGTTGGATTGAAAGTGAGAAGACAACATACATACGCAGGCCTGTAGTAGGCATGTTGGAGAGGTATTATAGCCAACTTCCTAAAGGTTGGTAGGTATCTAATGGCACACTCAACAAAATACCATACACTCCATCCGTACTTGACTGTGCGAGCGACTGGCAACTGGCGGTCGACCTGCATGATTTCGAAAAATACACTGAAGCGTTCCGAAAGGGGTGGCCTGAGACCAGACATGATTTTGCACTAGGCAGCAGATCGCCAGCTTGTCGTAATCGAGCTTAGCGTGATGATCGAATCACGGATGAAAGAAAACCACATGTACAAGCTCGAAAAGTATAGTGAATTTGTAACCTGTCTGAAGAATGATTAGGGGTACGCAAGAGGGCTTATCTCATCTCCACGTCTACAAAGTACTAAAGCAGCTGGGCTTGTGAGGAAAGTAAGCGGGCACACTAAAAACAAATAGGTGAGGCTGTTGAAAATGGCCTCGAGCTGCCCGTTGATGCAACTTAACGACGTGGGGGACAGGTCTCGGTAGACTGGGCCGAGCCCTTAGTGAAAAAATACTTTACATCGCTGAAAAGTAAAGCATCCGATCAACGTGTGCCCGTGTCACTGTGCCAACGTCTGTCCGATCAACGTCTGTCCGGTGAACCAGCCGCATATATGTCACTCAGGTCGTGAAGGTAGTCGTACAATTTGCTACCACAGCGAAAAAAACCATAACTCAGCACCCGATGCAACGCAACCATTTCGTCTTATCTGATAAAGCGCAGCAGGAGTTGTCCGAGGCCTGGAGTCATGAATCAGATCGATGTCTCAGGAAAGCCGGAATAGGAGACAACTACCTGTCCGCTTTCCTTGGCGATGCACGTCCAGAGTAGGCACAATTCTTTGGTTACTGAACCGTCTTAATAAGCGATGCATGTAGAGAGAAGTCAAACTTCTCTGGTTACTGAACTGTCTTTATCAGCGATGCATGTCGAGAGAAGTCAAAATTCTCTGGTTACTGAACCGTCTTTATTAGCGATGCATGTCGAGGGAAGTCAAAATTCTCTGGTTACTGAACCGTCTTTATCAGCGATGCATGTCGAGAGAAGTCAAAATTCTCTGGTTACTGAACCGTCTTTATCAGCGATGCATGTCGAGGGAAATCAAAATTCTCTGGTTACTGAACCGTCTTTATCAGCAATGCATGTGGAGAGAAGTCACAATTCTCTGGTAACTGAACCGTCTTTATCAGCGATGCATTTTGAGGGAAGTCAAAATTCTCTGGTTACTGAACCGTCTTTTTTAGCGATGCATGTCGAGAGAAGTCAAAATTCTCTGGTAACTGAACCGTCTTTTTCAGCGATGCATGTCGAGAGAAGTCAAAATTCTCTGGTAACTGAACCGTCTTTATTAGCGATGCATATCGAGAGAAGTCAAAATTCTCTAGTTACTGAACAGTCTTTATTAGCGATGCATGTCGAGAGAGGTCAAAATTCTCTAGTTACTGAACAGTCTTTATTAGCGATGCATGTAGAGAGAAGTCAAACTTCTCTGGTTACTGAACTGTCTTTATCAGCGATGCATGTCGAGAGAAGTCAAAATTCTCTGGTTACTGAACCGTCTTTATAAGCGATGCATGTCGAGGGAAGTCAAAATTCTCTGGTTACTGAACCGTCTTTATCAGCGATGCATGTCGAGAGAAGTCAAAATTCTCCGGTTACTGAACCGTCTTTATCAGCGATGCATGTCGAGGGAAGTCAAAATTCTCTGGTTCTTTTTCAGCGATGCATGTCGAGAGAAGTCAAAATTCTCTGGTAACTGAACCGTCTTTATTAGCGATGCATATCGAGAGAAGTCAAAATTCTCTAGTTACTGAACAGTCTTTATTAGCGATGCATGTCGAGAGAGGTCAAAATTCTCTAGTTACTGAACAGTCTTTATTAGCGATGCATGTCGAGAGAAGTCAAAATTCTCTAGTTACTGAACGGTCTTTATTAGCGATGCATGTCGAGAGAATTCAAAATTCTCTATTTACAAATGCATGTCGAGAGAATTCAAAATTCTCTAGTTACTGAACTGTCTTTATTAGCGATGCATGTCGAGAGAATTCAAAATTCTCTAGTTACTGAACCGTCTTTATCAGCGATGCATGTCGAGAGAAGTCAAAATTCTATGGTAACTGAACCGTCTTTATTAGCGATGCATGTCGAGAGAATTCAAAATTCTATCGTAACTGAACTGTCTTTATCAGCGATGCATGTCGAGAGAGGTCAAAATTCTATGGTCACTGAACCGTCTTTATTAGCGATGCATGTCGAGAGAAGGCAACACTTTCTGGTAACTGAACCCTCTTTATCAACAATGCATGTTGAGAGTAAGCAAAATTCTCTGGTCACTAAAACTTTCTCTCCTAAAGATAATGAACTGTTTACCCCGCTGCTTCGTTCCCACAGTTTTTCTATTCAGTGTATACATTGCCTGAATGAACTGGCGTTCCTTTAAAAGCAATAAACTTATGATATATGACAGTGATTGTGTCAATGATTAGGAATTTACTGCTAAACTTTCAACAACCGGGAAAAAAGGCAAATTAGGTCAAAGTTCCATTTTAGTGAGATATATTAGGTATATGGTGTTCCCCAGGTTAATTATTGTAGTGAAATATTTTAGATATATAGTGCTACCCCAGGTTAATTATTGTAGTGAGAAATATTAGGTATACAGTGCTACCCCATGTTAATGATTGTAGTGAGATATTTTAGATATTTAGTACTACCCCAGGTTAATTATTGTAGTGAAATATTTTAGATATATAGTGCTACCCCAGGTTAATTATTGTTGTAAAATATATTAGGTATATAGTGCTACCCCAGGTTAATTATTGTTGTAAAATATATTAAGTATATAGTGCTACCCCAGGTTAATTATTGTTGTGAAATATATTGAGTATATAGTGCTACCCCAGGTTAATTATTGTTGTGAAATATATTAAGTATATAGTGCTACCCCAGGTTAATTATTGTTGTGAAATTTATTAGGTTTATAGTGCTACCCCAGGTTAATTATTGAGGTGAAATATATTAGGTATTATAGTGGAACCCCAGGTTAATTATTGTAGTGAAATATATTAGATATATATAGTGCTACCCCAGGTTAATTATTGTAGTGAAATATATTAGGTATGTAATGCAACCCTAGGTTAATTATTGAAGTGAAATATATTAGATATATAGTGCTACCCCAATTATTGTAGTGAAATATATTAGGTATATAGTGCTACCCCAAGTTAATTATTGTAGTGAAATATATTAGGTAGTGCTACCCCAGGTTAATTATTGTTGTGAAATATATTAGATATATAGTGCTATTATAGGTTAATTATTGTAGTGAAATATATTATGTATATAGTGCTACCCCAGGTTAATTATTGTAGTGAAATATACTTAATTATGAAAATAACACAATGATTAAAAAATGATTGTGAACATACACTAGGAGATGGTGCTTCCTTGAATAGTTTAAAGTAAACATGTAGTTATCAAATGTGACGTACATTGTGAGAGAAATGTTATGATTGGTTTTTTCTTTCTTGTCCACCAGGCACCAGGTGCCAAGTTGCGGGCCAGGTTTGGGAGGAGGCGCGGGGAGGGAAGGGAGGGGGGGGGGGGGAGTGTAATGACATTTTGTTTGCTGTTTTTAATGCATTGACTAAGTTTGTCACAATGTCTGCAGTTTTGTTTATGTGTTTCTGCTGCCGTCGTTCTGCCTGTTTGCTAGCCTAACCCCTTGCTGGGCGTTCATTATGTTTTTTTTCTTTTTTATGTTCAGCATGGTTCTCTGAGGTATCAGAATATCCTGGTGAGACTACTAGAATATACACTCGGTTACTGTTAAATGTGTGGGTGGATGACTTCTTTCTGACGCCCAGGTTCCAATTCCTCGGTAAAGGTGATAGACATGTTTCTGTCGGTGCCAACAACTCAAGCCTACCCTGTCCTCGGTGACTGTGCTAGCCATGCCACCAGCAATCTTCAGGCTTAAGATCACCGTCGTCCTTCCTCTTCCCCTGCCCATACAGCCCTAAAAGCTTAAAATATAAGTAGTAAGGAGTTATAAAATTCTATCAAGACTAGTTTCAGTAATAATCGTCTTCTGACTTCTTAATTTTTAATTTCATCTCTCCTGGTTACTTTGGCTTTCCTCTTTTTCTTCTCTTCCACCTTGTACCTTGGCAGCTTTGCTAAGCTATAAATGAATGAATGAATGAATGAATGAATGAATGAAGGAATGAATGAATGAATGAATGAATGAATGAATGAATGAATGAATGAGTTAATCAATCAATCTATCAAAAGAATAAAACTGTTAAGCATCTCATTGCTATTGTTATGGTTTTCCATGTATTAGTCGTAGAAGACCTATGTTGACAATGGTAGTAGCATAACGTCATCTAAGAAGCAGCTCCTATCGGATTTGTATTGGTCTACAAAAGGATCTTTACATATCATATTGACGAACATTACTAAAAGAGTCTTATGGTATCATGGCCGATAAAGACGACAAACACTGACATTCTTTAGGATCTGAACGTAATAGGGCATCACTCATAGGCAGTATTGTTTCCGGAAAATGACATACTCTGGTCTTATTAAAACGCAAAACGCATAAATGGTTATGTGAGAACAGTAATGGAAAGTATGGTTCCTGGATGACGGTGGACACATACTATCAAAGACACCGTGGACATGAAAGTTCAGGAGGGAAAGAAGTTGTCCTGTGACCTATGACTTCCCAGCGTGTTACTTTGAGAGCGACGTTTTGGAGTGTACCAACATTATTTAGACGTCACATGTTTGTGAATACTTCAGTTTTTTCCAATAATGCAACTTTCTTCGTTAGGAAACAAAAGTGTGTAACTAAATCAAGGAATCTGGACTCACCGTACAGCTTTTTCAAAAACATGGAGGTGCCGCAGCATTTGATAACACCGCCGGCCATGATGGCGATGCGGTCACCGAGAATATCCGCCTCGTCCATGTAGTGAGTGGTCAGTAAGATAGTTCTACCTTGGCGAGCTTCCTGTAGAACACTCCAGGTCTGGCGGCGAGCGGCCGGATCCATGCCAGATGAGGGTTCATCCAATATCACCACCTATAGGGACAACACGTCATTCGCTATAGGTCTGTGTTTGTGTTGTGGGCACTGTTACCATTATTAATTGCCACATAGTTCATGAAGAAAGCAATTTCATTTACAAGATGGATTTCACTTGCTCTATACATTTCCAGTTATTTCACCAAGATTGGCAGATTAAAAGCATTAGACTGTTTGCATTTCGGTAATGTGATAGGCCCACTGTGCAGAGCTAAGCAGATGCTCGAGCAGGTATTATCCGTATACAGGAAAGCCCTAGACCGGGGACGATATACTTGGCGCCACAATGAAGTCCTGAAAGAGTAAGCGGACACTGTGAACCAAGCTTTAATGAGGGCCAACACGAGGCCAGTCCTACCGTCACCCCCATGCGCTTCCTCAAGGCTGGGCAGATTTATTAAGGTAAAATCAACAAAGTTGCATACACTACATAAATACTTGACTGTGCGGGGGACTGGTTACTGGCTGTCGACCTGCCTTGTTTCCAAAGTCAATCCGGAAGACCGGCCTGAGACCCGACATAGTTCTGCACTCTGCGGGAAAAACGCCAGCTCATCCTGATTAAGCTGACCGTGAAGGAGAAGCTGCTGAAAGAGCTTCGAACTGGCTCTGAATGCAATGGAACGTCGCGGGGGATTGGCCTCTGTAGACTGGTCCAAGTCCCTATTGGTAAAGAGCTTCTTATGCCTTAAAAGCTAAAGTGTCAGATAAATGTATGCCAGCGTCTCTCTGTTAAATACCAAGGTCTAACGATTGTTCTATGAACCAACCATAAGCTTTGTCACTCTGGTCGTGAAGGTAGTCAACTGATCTAATTTGTTACATCAGCGACAGTATAACACAATATCTCACAACACCTGTTGCAAAATGACCATATCGTCTTGTTCTGTCGAGTCCGATAAAGTGCAGTAGGGGAAGATCGAGGCCTGGAGTCATGACCCAGGTCGGGCCCACCTTCCGAGATTGTATAGGAAATAATGGGCCAAAACAATCGTCGAAGAAGGGTTTTTCTACTAATGACGGTGGACCCCCTCTGTGCATGCTCCCCTGTGGAGTTTTCTTATTATTATTGTTAGTGACCTCGCAAAGACAGCGCATTTCACAAGTTTTTTTTTCTTCTGTTCTAGTGCCCTATTCACTGCGGATGTGGTTTCACTGCTCCCAAAGTCCTCCACCCTTCCTATTTCTGAGAGGGCATTAAAAATAGCAGCATGATCCTTACATTGACCGTCGGTCGTGATAGCGGTCCAGCCAACCTATCAGCTCTTTTATTCACATGTCCTTTTTTAACATCTGCATGACATCACAACATTTTGTCAGGTCACACGAAAGTCTTTTCTGCCATATCTTCTGTTTTATGAATATCATGAGTATAATATCGTCTAAATGTAAATTATCAGTTTTTCGTGAAACATACAACAGCTGATCTTGAACGTTCCTTAACTGCCTACTCCCACTCCAAAATAACGAAAAATTGCATCCCACAAGGGAATGAAATGTACGTGCCAAGAGTGTGCCAAATTTGAGCAGGATACATTATAAGGAAATGGTTTCAAAATGGATGGCAAAGTTTTAAATATATCGACAAACTTCTTTAGCAAGTTGAATAAAAGTTTACTAAAAGAGAAAGAAAGCTGCTTTTAATCAAACAGAACATCCAAAACAACAATACAAAATGCATGTACTCTGTAAATATAATCATTCACACAAAGCAGCGGTTCTTACGCTGTTCCTACAACTGCGCTTATGCGCACTATGTAAATTTACTATTGATAAATAAAAATTCTTGGTTTTCGTCGGGTTTCGTCTGTTGCTTCTGACATCCGTTAATTGGGTGATCAGTACTACCGAAATATGGGTATACACAATTATACGCAGCCAAAATTAATAATGGAAACTGTGTACACAATTATACACATGTATATTAATAAGAGAAACTGTGTACACGACTAAACACAACCAAAAGAATAATAGAAACAGTGTAGACGATAATACACAACCAAAAGAATAATGGAAACAGTGTACACGACAATACACAACTAAAAGAATAATGGAAACAGTGTACACGACAATACACAACTAAAAGAATAATGGAAACAGTGTACACGACAATACACAACTAAAAGAATCATGGAAACAGTGTACACGACAATACACAACCAAAAGAATAATGGAAACAGTGTACACGACAATACACAACTAAAAGAATAATGGAAACAGTGTACACGACAATACACAACTAAAAGAATCATGGAAACAGTGTAGACGATAATATACAACTAAAAGAATAATAGAAACAGTGTAGACGATAATACACAACTAAAAGAATAATGGAAACAGTGTTCACGACAATACACAACTAAAAGAATCATGGAAACTGTGTAGACGATAATATAGAACTAAAAGAATAATGGAAACAGTGTAGACGATAATACACAACTAAAAGAATAATAGAAACAATGTTCGCGATAATATAGAACTAAAGGAATAATAGAAACAGTGTACACGACAATACACAACTAAAAGAATAATGGAACAGTGTACACGACAATACACAACTAAAAGAGTAATGGAAACAGTGTACACGACAATACACAACTAAAAGAATCATGGAAACAGTGTACACGACAATACACAACTAAAAGAATCATGGAAACAGTGTAGACGATAATATAGAACTAAAAGAATAATGGAAACAGTGTAGACGATAATATACAACTAAAAGAATAATGGAAACAGTGTACACGACAATACACAACTAAAAGAATCATGGAAACAGTGTAGACGATAATATAGAACTAAAAGAATAATGGAAACAGTGTAGACGATAATACACAACTAAAAGAATAATAGAAACAATGTTCGCGATAATATACAACTAAAAGAATAATGGAAACAGTGTACACGACAATACACAACTAAAAGAATAATGGAAACAGTGTACACGACAATACACAACTAAAAGAATAATGGAAACAGTGTACACGACAATACACAACTAAAAGAATCATGGAAACAGTGTACACGACAATACAAAACTAAAAGAATCATGGAAACAGTGTAGACGATAATATAGAACTAAAAGAATAATGGAAACAGTGTACACGACAATACACAACTAAAAGAATCATGGAAACAGTGTAGACGATAATATAGAACTAAAAGAATAATAGAAAGAGTGTAGACGATAATATTCAACTAAAAGAATAATAGAAACAGTGTACATGATAATATACAACTAAAATAATCATGGAATCAGTGTAGACGATAATATAGAACTAAAAGAATAATAGAAACAGTGTACACGATAATATACAACTAAAAGAAAAATGGAAACAGTGTACACGATAATATACAACTAAAAGAATAATAGAAACAGTGTACACGATAATATACAACTAAAAGAATAATAGAAACAGTGTACACGATAATATACAACTAAAAGAATAATGGAAACAGTGTACACGATAATATACAACTAAAAGAATAATAGAAACAGTGTACACGATAATATACAACTAAAAGAATAATAGAAACAGTGTACACGATAATATACAACTTAAAGAATAACGGAAACAGTGTACACGATATTATACAACTAAAAGAATAATAGAAACAGTGTACACGATAATATACAACTAAAAGAATAATAGAAACAGTGTACACGATAATATACAATTTAAAGAATAATGGAAACAGTGTACACGATAACACAAAGCTTTAAGAATGAATGTTAACTACGCCAGAAAGTTATCTTTGTTCGTCTGCTTCTGGACTTTATTAGCCTTGATCCGGAACTTTGTGTTGCGCGCACATCCGTTGCACAGATCTGGCTTATTTATATGCTCACTGATGGTTCCTTGCCTCTAGTGTAGATGCACTCTGTCTTCAAAGGAAATTTTATTTAATCGCCTTTTACGTAACAAACGTTAGGCAGGTAGTGGGACTGTTCTTCTCCAACAATGAGGCCCCGAAAAATCAGGCGGGAAAGTGATGATGATGATGATGATGATGATGAATATAACGATATCCACATTTATGAAAAGGTATTCAGCAGCGTATGATCTCGCATCAGCTAGATGCATATCCTAGACAGACGTCACAACCTCGCATCAGCTAGATGCATATCCTAGACAGACGTCACAACCTCGCATCAGCTAGATGCATATCCTAGACAGTCGTCACAACCTCGCATCAGCTAGCTGCATATCCTAGACAGACGTCACAACCTCGCATCAACTAGCTGCATATCCTAGACAGACGTCTCAACCTCGCATCAGCTAGCTGTATATCCTTGACAGACGTCACAAACGAATAGTTGCACGTGTTGGCTCTTTATGGTTTTAAGTCAGTTTTACGTTCGCATGTTGCCATTTCTTGGGATATCCAAGCAAACTCATTAAAAAACCCTGATGATCCCATGTATAAAAAACGAGGTGTGCTAAAAGATGTTTACTTTGCTGTTTCTAAGAATAAAAAAAAAAAAAAAAAGGTAACACCTATTTATTTTGACCAGTCAAATAATGATGATGATGATGATGATGATGAACCCGCATTAGGTTACATGACGGCCCTATGCTGCTGGTTCCATGGGTAAAACAAAAGACATACCTTAGAGCCTCCGATAAGAGCGATCCCAACAGACAGCTTCCTTTTCTGCCCTCCAGATAGGTTTTTGGCGTAGGTGTGTAGTTTACCTTCCAAGCCAACTTTCGTGGCCAGCTCAAGTATTTCATTGTTCAAAGTGGGACTCGAGTAACCTTTCATCTGAAACATGCGTGCATATATGTATATATATATATATATATATATATATATATATATATATATATATATATATATATATATATATATATATATATATATATGTATATATATATGTATACATATATATATATATATACACACACATACACACACACATATATATATATATATATATATATATATATATATATATATATATATATATATAATTTACACACACACACATACACATACATACATATAATACATATATACCTACCTACCTACCTACCTACCTACCTACCTACCTACCCACCTACCCACCTACCTAACCTACCTACCTACCTACCTACCTACCTACCTACCTACCTACCTACCTACCTACCTACCTACCTACCTACCTACCTACCTACCTACCTACCTACCTACCTACCTACCTACCTACCTACCTACCTACCTACCTACCTACCTACCTACCTACCTACCTACCTACCTACCTACCTACCTACCTACCTACCTACCTACCTACCTACCTACCTACCTACCTACCTACCTACCTACCTACCTACCTACCTACCTACCTACATACATAAATACATACATACATACATACATACATACATACATACATACATACATACATACATACATACATACATACATACATACATACATACATACATACATACATACATACATACATACATACATACATACATACATACATACATACATACATACATACATACATACATACATACATACATACATACATACATACATACATACATACATACATACATACATACATACATACATACATAGTAGAACCTCGGTATACGTTCTTACCCGTTCCAAATCCTTATACCTAAAACGAACAGAGTATACCAAATGAATTTTGGGGTGAGCAATTCTATCGGGTTGTGGGGGGGGGGGAGGCAACTTGTTATTGCCATATTGATGGAGTTGTGTAAAAAAAATTATGTAAATTATGTTACATTTATGTAACATTAAAATACAGAAATACAATAGCAATCAGATAACGTTAAATAAAAAAAAAATAACGTGGCTTTACCTTCTTGAGAAGAATCGAGTGGCTACTAGTATAGTTCCTAGAAGGGGAGAGGAGGAGTTGGTATTGTTTGGAAGGAAAGTCTCTTTCTTATTAAACTTCAGGAATATGAAATTCTGGAGTGTGTTTTCTTTTTTCTTTTTCTGTTTTCCCACCTATGTGGACTTGGTTGAAGCTCATCAGCTTTGACTATTACAAAACAATTGCCCAAAGAACTTTGCTTCTACATTAACCTCAGAATGTTTCGGAAATGTGACACTGTGTGGTCATTTAATGCAATGAGTCAAATTGGAGGGGATAAATCACTGAGTAAGTTTTGAAAACTTCACAGACAGACGCAAAGGAAGCATCGGCTTATCACAACAGGGCTTATATACACTAATAATGGTATGCAAGTGACAACAAAGAGAAAGGGGAAGCATTTCTAAAAAGATTTATAGCCTACATTGATCATATGATAGGAGCTCAGAAATTCACTTATAATAAATAATCTATTTCAAGCGAACGAAAGAAGAAGAAAAATAAAATGTTAGAGGTAATCTGTTTAATACTATAAATAAATATTTTCAGGATATCATAAGGATGGAGGATATAAACTATATTTTGCAAAAAAAAAAAGCAAAAGACACTGTGCCCTGGTCAGACAGAGTCAGGTATTCCCACATGAAGAGTATGAGTGATTATGACTTTAGGGAGATGGTTTTTCACCTCAACCTGAGTTTCAGAAGAGCTTCAGTACCCCAGTATTGAGTACACAGCTACTTAATCCCACTTCCAAAACCAGCCAAAAATCATTTCAGACTTAGGGGTTTCAGGATTATCCCAGTACAAAATACTGTTGGCAAGTTGCTAGAGAAGATTATTGCTGTTTTGAAAATAAAAGAGCTCCTGCCAAAATTTTTTGGTAGTCAACGAAAACAAAAAAAGTTACCCGGTAAATTGCAGCTAGATTTGGTTTTGATGTTTATGAGGGGTTCCAAACTTGATTGCAAACAGAATGGGATAAAGTCATGCGGGTAAATCTAGGATGTACAAGAAATACCCCGCTAGTATGTACGTGATATATACTTGACCTGTCTACTATAACAGATAGGCTCAATGTTTTGCAAGCAAAGTAATTTCTCAGAGTAGCTGTAGACAAGAAGCACCTCTTGCATGAAGCCCTGGGTAGAGCTACGTATACCAAAGCGTACGTATACCGATGGACTAGTTTATATACGTTTGTGTGTGTAGCATAGATCAGCGGCGGCGGCTCCACCATATCAGCCAATCATCAGATAGTATTGATACCTGCACAATACAGTATATGCTGGTCCCTTGGAGGATAGGCAGAGCGAGAGGACTTCTCCGCAATAGTCACCAGATATTGATACCGGCGCAATACAGTACATGCTGGTCCCTTTGAGGATAGGCATAGCGAGAGGACTTCTCCGCAATTGTCATCAGATAAGACTGAAACCTACATAACACAATACAAAGCATTAGCCAGAGCGAGAGGCCTTCTCCGCAAGCACCATGTCTCGGAGAAACAAACCTAACGGAAAGCGCAACGGACAGAGGAAACAACCCACTGACAGATCTACCCGATCTAACTCGGAGGCCAGGAAGACGCAGAAAGTTACTACCGAACCACAGGAAGACGCCCCGACTACCAGTGAGGCCCTGAGTGACGTCCCAGCGTCACCTGAACCAACACAGCCAAGTCCACAAACATCTCCAGATCGACGAAAGACAGGCAGCTATGAATTTCCTGCCACAATATTTCTACGACAGACCAGCTCGGGCCGGACAGCAATCACTTCACTGGCAACGCTAACATTGATCAATATGTTGGAGATAATATTAGGCAAGAGGGCAATCGCAAAGATTAGGAGAACTCGAGAAGGAGTGATAGCCTCACTAAACAGAACCAATCGCACCTCAGACATGCTGGATGACATCCAACACGACGGCAAGAAAAGAACTCCGACTATCCGAGGAGATAACTGTGACGGCTACAATCTTCCAGAATGTAAGACGCTGGGTGATCCGAAGAGTCAACCTGCAATGGAGCAACGAAGAAATTCTGCAACAAATAAGGAAAGAAAACCCCAATGTCAACATCAACCAAGCAGAGAGACTGGGCTCAAAACGGCATCCATTGCCAGTGGCGGTGATAACATCGGAAGGAGAACACATCCCGGATAAAGTCTACCTAGATCAAAGAATGCAAAGACCAGAGCAATACGTGCCACAGGTGATCCAGTGCTCTCGTTGCCAAAAGGCATGGCACTCCCGGGCCACTTGTGTGAGCGAACATGAAGTCTGCCGATACTGTTCACAACCCCATGCCTTCAACAATAGCCCGCTGGCAAAGCTGGACACAGACTTTAGGTCTCCCAATACGAACAGGAAGTGCGCCAACTGCTACGGCCAGCACAGCACCAGGTACCTGGGATGCCCTTATCTTCAACAATGCAGAGAAATAGCAACCACGGCCATACGGGAAAAGATTCCATACCATGAGGCCCGCAGAAGACACGAAGCAACCCAAGGCATAACTGCAGCCATTACCACCAAATTGAGCAACGAGGTGGCTCAACTCAAAAGTGACATCCAAGCTCTCAGAGACGAGAAAGACGCATCCAAATCCCAACGAGATGCAGACAGAGATGAAATAACAGGCCTGAGAGCTATAATGCAGGCGACTCTTGACACCCAGAAACGGATGACAGCAGAGATGACGAAATTCAAGGAGGATATCATGAATGCACTGGCCACTATCCAGACACAAAAGGAACAACCAACTAAAGCAAGGGAAGACGAGGCGGGCATCAATGATCTGCGGGATAACCAACAACTTCTCGCGAAAGAAGTCGCAATGATTAAGAAGGCACTAGCTGAAACAGAGGAAAAGTTACGAAGAGCATACGAAGAAAACAACAGACTTAATAAGGAACTGCAAGCAACCAACAGAGTGATGGAAGAAAGAGAGAAAGCACGGAAAGAGGCAACAAGAAGGCAGCAAATACAGGGAGCCGAGACCCAGAAAAAGCCACATCAAACACCAGATAAGAGAAATCCGACGCCGCTGATGAAACAGTTTCCGGTGGCAACAATTGACCAAATAAACGAACGCATCAGGGAGCTTGAGGACCCGAACTTCTTTAACTCAGAACTGCAAGATGATGATGTTCTTTGGTCATCACCAGAGGAACCATATCGACAGCCAAAACCTGAAGTCAAACGAGGTCGACACCGTTATCTCAAACACTAATACCAGATACGACACAACTAAGGCCAAAATTACCGATGCCCTATGTAGGAGCAGTACTTTACAACAAGGATACGAGAAAATCACCAAATAATACCAGACCTCAGCAGTATTGCCATCAGTATCTGCCCAAGTCAATCGACCGCCGGTCTTTATTAGGATAGGCAAATTGACTTTCCCCGGAAACAACAAACAGCCAAGGAATACCACAATAAATCGATTCAACATCCAATCATCTTGAGCGCAGCACAGGGCCAGCCAAATTACACATACAACAGCAAGAGCGGAAACCACAACAAATAGAAAGTGACAATATTGAACACAATCCAAAATCAAATGAGATCGAGACCAGAAAACGTCACCACAAATATAGCTGAAAGGAAAGTGAGCAGAAATGTGAACGGACCTAGCTGAAAGTGGTCAACGAAAGAGAATTTGAATTTGAATTAGCATAGATACTTTAATGAACACGCAAGCTGTGTGTAATTGTAGTATTTTAATAAACGAACTGTGTAACTACAACATAGAAATGGGACCAGAAATGTTCAAAGAGATACAAATGTTAACAAATATTGTCAAAGGAAAAAAAAAATGTTATAAAAGACAAAGATTGTACTACCTTTACCGAAAGTTACGAAATACTTGACAGTTGGAAGGTTTACTTTGGGAAAATGTACAAAGATACAACAAACAAATCAAACAGAGCAGATGAGCCTTTTTTAAAGCAAGTAAGAACAGCATTAGAAAAATCAAAAAGGGGAAATATCTCCATCATGTAGTGGCGTACCAGTTGAGTTTATACAAATAATGGATGAGGGGGGGGGGGGCAATATCAGTTTATATTTACATTTGATGCACTACGTGTAAAAATCTGGAACAGTAGTGCCTGGCCACAGCTTGGAAAAGAATATTCTACATTCCTCTTCCGAGGGTAGGAAATATCAGGTTAGGTTCCATTCACCATACTATAGCTACGATCAGCCATGTCAGGAAAATCCTTCTGCGAATAATTTCGTAAAGGATTGAAAAGCAATTACAATATTAATTGCAAGAAACACAAGCATGCTTTAAACACGATAGAGGAACAGTAGGCCATATTTTTAGTATGAGAATCTTCTTTGAGAATTGTAAAGGGTTCACGATAGATCTACCTACATGTTTCATAGACTACAGCAAGGTCTTTGGCTGTGTTCAACACTGTGAACTGGGGCACATAAAGCATGGAATTTCCAATAAAGCTGACACATCTAATGGAATCTCGTTATCGTTAACAACAAGCAGCAGTTAAAATAGCTGGTGAAACATAGGACCGGTTTGAGGTGGAGAAAGGAGTAGAACAGCTGAATTGTTCTCCTTTCTTTCGACATTTATTCCAAACACATTATTAGAAATGCAGTTAATTCACTGAAGATGGTAAATTAGTCGAATAAATTGACATTCGATGCAGTAAATCTGACCAAGTATTGGAACAGCTAGCTCCCTCCCTTCCCCCCCCCCCCAAACTTCCTTTACAGCATAAGGCAATCCAAATCAGCACAAAGGGACATCTAATAAAAAGTATATACATTCCCACCCTATACTAAGAGTGCCAGACATGGTCACTCACAAAAAAAAAAAAAAAAAAAACATAACAGAACATTAGTAACCATGGAAATAAGGTGTCTGAGAAAGGCTGTAAGAGTGACCAGGGAAGATAAAATCAGGAATGAGGTCATACGAGATAAAGTCGGCACAGAACTAATTCTAAATTACATACAAACACAGCAAATCAAATGGTTGCCCACTTGGAAAGAATGTCTCCTGATGCTATACCATTAAAGGCGTACACCAAAAGAGGAGAGGGACGGAGAGCAAAAGGTAGACCAAGAACAATATGGAAGGATAACATCAGAGAAACTCTACAGTACAACGATGTGTCTTTGGTCGAAGCAGCCAGAAAAGCACGAAACAAAAGCTTATATCTCCATCGACACCCGAAAAGGGACTAAAAGAAGAAGAAGTTAACTTATGAGGCCTGTGACAGCTTCGATCAACTCACAAAAGGAAGTAACATCCTAAAATCCAGGTATGCAGACAACACAGTTATTCTTTCTAACAATGTACAAGTCTTAGAAAAATTAATTTAGCCCCTTCGAAAGAATATTTAAGACCCAAGTCTTTATTTCTAAACTTGAAAAAAAAAAATTATGTCGATGGTAAATACAACTTACCAACTTCATATTCTAACCGATAATGGAGACATCGAATGTGTCACAGAATTTGAAAATATATGCTCAGTAATGAACAACAATGGCGACCGCACGACAGATGTCAGAAGAACTCTTACTTTAGCAATGCAGAGGCTAAAAGCATAAACAGCCTATTTCACATCACCTGCAAACGAGTTAAAATTAAAATTTGGTAGACCATGCATTTTCCCCGTGGCAACTTATGGTCTAAACATCGATGAGATCTGGCCAGCATCCTGCCACTAAAGCTGGTGTGTTTTGAAATTACCTTAGTGGAAGTAACAGAAAAACTTTCACAACTTTATATGGTTTAAACAACGAGGAGAACTGGCCAGCATCCTGCCACTAAAGCTGGTGTGTTTTGGTCATGTTAACTGGCCTTGTGGCCTTGGGAAAAAAACAACAACACGAAAATGGAGAGTACATTTTCCGGAAAAGAGGCAGAGGCCCACCGCCAAGATATAAAATTGAAGACTGAAGATGAACTAGCTATGAAAGCACATAGTACTGGAGAATTGGCTACAGATATGGCGACTTTCAGGTGTGCTGTGACAAAGCGACTTTCTGCAAAGAATCTCCCCGTTGATAACAACCTGAAGAAACACAATCTTTATATAACTGTGATGAAAAGATATAAATTTTGAGTATATAATAAAAAAAAAAAATAAAAAAAAAAACTGTATCCAACTGTAACAGTTTAGGAAACAGAAGCGCTGGCTAACTGTTGTGTGCTGTATAAAGATGTCTTTTTTTTAAAAAAAATACAGAATACTTCAAAATTAGGAAAAACTATGTGTAACAATAAACCTTACCCTTGAGAAGAATATGAAATGTTCCGACACAGTAACTGTGTCAAATAAGATATCGTGCTGGGGACATAATCCCAGACTGTTTCGAACCTCGTCAATGTTTGTTCTAATATCGTAACCATTTACAATGGCAGTCCCACTGGTTGGGGGTATGAACCCTGTGGAGAAGATGTTTTTTTTTCAAAACTACAAATAATAAGGACACTAGAAAAACGTTCAATTATTCATTGCCTGGCATCTCTTTAGATGCATTACTAAACAATTTATTTTGGGCTCTTCTTTCCCCTTATCGCTCAATACAGACTCATGCCGATTTGTACTATTTGTTATTGCTTTCGCAAGCACCCCACTCCCTGTGTTTCCACAAGCCACTTTCTCCCCATTTGTTTAAAACTTCATTCTCCTGTTCATGTCTCGATGTGTACTTTGGTTTTCATTCACTTATTTAATTCTGTGGGTCCCAGTTTTAGATATTCTGGATCAAGAGTTTTTCGTTGTTGTTGTTGTTGTTGCTGCTGCTGCTGTTGCCCCTCACCCCAACATATATCTTATCCAATGGCACTCTCTTTTCTTTACCACTTGATTCAGTGGAATTTGTTTCGTTTTCTTCGAAGTTCGAAACTGGTGATTCTGTCATACCATTTAATTCCATATATTCTGCACAGACACCAGTTATTGAATGTTTATAGTTTATTTGTCATTTTTTTTATTTGTTCTGCTTGTTTCTATATTTATATTCTATAAAACAGTTCTCATCTGACACTGAAGCCAAATAATTTGAGTTAAGTGTATTTTTAATTTCCTTTAACTTACAAAGATTTAATCGTCCATCTTCTGTATTTGTATTTCCCCACCCTTATCTACATTACTGCCTAAAGAGGTATGTGTACTTCAGGATTTACATGTATAAAAAAAAAAAAAGCACAGTACAACAGACATGCGTTTGCCATCGCTTTCAGAACGGCAAGCCGTTCATACCGTTGTCGAAATCAATCTCAATGAGTGTTGCCGTATTGAATGGACTGGAGCCGAACCCTTGTGTATGGTGATTGTGAAACTATGTACACGCGGATCGAAAGGAGAAGAACGTTTGGGCTTTCAAGCAGGAGACCCAGGTTCGAATCCCAGGTAACGACCTACATTTTTCTCGTATGGTTTAAAACCCATATCTGCACAGTCCGTGGCGACAGCACTAAACATACAACCGTACATTTTCAGATTCACAGACCTCCCGCCTATACTGCACAATTGGTAAATATTAGCAGTAAAGGCAGTTTTGTCAGTACACACCAATGGTCTAAGCCTGATTACATTATTATTTCGGTTTTGATCTTAAGCGAAAAAATTACATCTTACCTGTAATCATTGCCATAGTTGTAGTCTTTCCTGCTCCATTGTGACCCAACAATACAGTTATTTGCCCTTCGTACATGTTCAGTGAAGTCCCCGCGACAGCCACTCGTTTTCCAAATTCCTGAATAATGCAGCCACATCAATGTAATTAGTTTTCTATGACTACTTTTAAAGAAAATAACATTTATTTTGCTCTGCTTTAGGGAACTCCCATAAGCAAAGCAATGAAGGATAAAAATGTAGCTGGCTATGCGTGCCATAGGATGCAACAAAGGGGAGTTGACCGGGACCGCTGAAAACATCCCGCAAGGCAATTAATTGCAAAATCAGCACATCATTAGAAATACAGAAAATACATTTGGTCTGAGTTAAACGAGGGCCAGTGATATACTTTGAGCCGGAGGGAAGCCAGTGATGATGAGGATGAGAAGGAAGGAGAAGATGCGGCTGTCTGAAACAGTCACGTGAATATCATGTCAGGCGTATTTCCTTTTTCTAACTGTACTATATTGTCAGACTGTCAAATATTCATCTAACTAATGTCTGTTCTCCATCTCCCTGCAATGTGTTTATTTTCAGTCAGTTGTCTAGGTGATTTCCAATAAAATGCCAACAATTATTGATCTTTTTTTGTGAGGCTGACCGCATCACACATCTAATGCCTGTTTGTTTATGAAATAGCTCCAGTCCTATATGTCCAAAGACAACAACAACAACAACAACAACAAAAAAACAACAACCTCATGAGGTGAGTCGGCATCTTTGCTAAAGGCGCTGCGAAAGCGCTTCGTAATGTAGGAATGCAGGCTTAGAGCCTAGCTGCAGTCGATTTGGCAGCAGACCGCCTTGCTGTGGTTTCGCCAGTGTTATCAGACTGTATAATAAGCAGTGGCAAATTACTGACCGTAAACTTGCCTAGGACAATCACAACAGCCAACAACAACAAAAAATAAAACAAATATAAATAAATGCAGGGGTTTGTTCTGCAGCGTCATTGAAAGGACATGCTTAATGATTTGTGTTTATGATCTGGGTTATCCCAGTGGCACCAAAGGACTCATTGATAAATGCTCCTATGCCCAGAGTTTTCGTTGGTTTGTAAGACCTCGTAAAGGCAAAAGGAGCTTTCATGGTACTAGGAAATTTGTGGAGGTTAAAAAAAAAATTAAACTAATACTAAACTGTAACATTTTAATTTATAAGGTCAAATCAATACTGCCGTAAAAAGCCAACAAATGGAGAACAGTTGAGGCAATTACTAATAAACTACAAATATTAATTAACCGGAGCTTGTGCCAAAAAGAGGGAATCAAAAAGTATGATAAAATCACTAATGTAGGGCTGTGGGAGTGAAGTAAACAGGTTCCAGTGCACCAAAAGGTGAAAAAAAAATATGATTGCGTTGGATAGGACACACGATGAGAAAAGCCGATAATAATACAATTAGAAGATCTTTGAACTGAAACCCACAGGTGGCATGGGAAAAGAGCAAGACCGAACAACACATGAAGAAAAGAGCCGGAGAGTGAAATGATAAAAGATAGGGAGTAAATGGGTAGAGCTGCATGCAGTAGCAAAGGATATAGAGCGAGCTAATGTGAGTTGGTTGAGGGCCTGTATCCAACTGGGTCAAGAAGGCAGAATAAAAAGAAGAACTCTCAAAGATCCGTTTTGTTTCTTATTCCAGACTCTGTCGATTACAAACACTTATTTGGGATGCGGACGCATTGTCTCTAGAATACTCCAAATGTTTTCTATCTGTCATTGTTGATTAGGGAAAAAAACATTCCGCACTTTGGTCAAAATTTTTCTCCTTTTTTTTCTAGCGCTTAGCGGCGGTAAACTCCAATAGAAAGCTCTGATTGTTCGTCTATTCTTGGACTTTGTTTTTAATCAGAAATTGAGTTTTGCCTTTATATCCATTTTTCAGATCTAGTTTCTTTGTATGCAGACTGTTGGTTTCCTTGCCTCTCAGGCAGATGCACTGACTTTGAGTGTTACACATATAATTAGTCGGGAGCTACGACATGCTTGTTAGGGGACAGTGGATCTATTCTTTTTCTCTCTCTAAAAATGGAGCCTCGGAACCCCCACAGGGAACTAAGGTTTATAACAAGTAACGTTGTGTCTCCCCACCTCCAACCCCCCCCACCCCACCATGGGATATTTTGGTATTTATAAGATCATCCGTGGGACGCACACAATCATCAACAAGATAGCCTGCTATATTTGGTCAAACGTACAAGGTCCGACAGTTAAGTAATGTCACTAATTCCGTACAAATTCAAATAATCAACAGTTGAAGATATAACCTGTATTTTATTCAAAGTAAGCCTCTTGTGCATTGATACAGAGAGTAGCATAATTTAACAAAAACTTGAACCATCCTCTGTAGTTGTTCTATCCTTATGGCCCTTAAAGTCGATGTTACACCCTTTGGATGCCACCAGTATTGTCAAAAAGTGTCCCTTCAATGGTAACTTTAATTTTAGGAATAGAAAATAGTCACAGGAAGACAAATCTGGGGAATAGGGTGGATGGTTTAAAACACGCATCTGTTTTTGGGCCCAACATTCCTGTACAGCTACGGCCCTTTGAGCTGGTGCATTTTCATGAAGATGGAAACAAATCGCCCTGGTGTTGAATACAACTTTTTATTTCTTGCCCAAAACTTCCACTAAAATTGTATGCATAGTTAACACCAAATTCATCTACCATCATCCTAACAGTCGAACAACGATCTTCTTGTATCCGTTCTCGGAATTTCGCAATGAGTTCCTCATTACAAAAGGAAATTTTGTATCCAGGTCTAGTTGCATTAGTAATCATTTCCAAACCACTTTTGAAACATCAGTACCAGCTGAAAATCTGTGCACGAGATAAAAAAAATTTATCCCATAAACTTTTCGCATTAATTCAACTGTCACAGTGGCGCTTTTTTTAAAAAAAAAAAACAGAATTCAATGTTTTAATTTTTGTGTGTGTGCTCCATGCTGATTACGTAACAATGCACATCTGGCTAGGTTAACAAAATCGTGGCTTGTTTGTTGTTTGATTATTGGGCGGCGATGAAAAGTTGCCAGATCATAGACGAAGGTTGCCTTTTTGGATTCTATGCTTTGAATTCATAGATCGCATTTTGTCTTGAGGATAATAAAATCAGTCTCATTACTTAATTGTCGGACCGTGTATGAATGCATTTGCCTTGCGAGGGCCCATTGATTGTGCTGGTCTTATTTAACTTTAGAGACAGGGAGCTCTTAACTCTGGATTAGAAAATAGTCATTCACGATATTCCTGTCAGATCTACAAGATAAATTATCAAAAGCTATCAGTCCATACAAAAAAAGTACCTTTCTCAGATTACAAATGCGTATTCCTGCTGCTTTCCCGCTAGGATCCTTCTCAAAGTATTTCGTCTGAGGCAGATCAAACCTGAAGCTGCCTTCACGTTTTTCTTCAGACTTAAACCAGTATGATTTCTGATAAAAATGAATGTTTTAAATCTTTTCAGGGTGTATTTGGACATTTGATTAAAACATTTCTGTACTAACAATGAAGAAATAAAGAGAAGACTTGGTTGCAACCAGTCGTGCAGATCTGTCAAAAACAACAAACAATCGGGTTTTAACCATCTGACGAAATTCCTCCCGTGCCAGCTGCCACAAAGAGTCACATTGGCTATGAAATGACGGCATCAAAAACCCATTTAAACGACTAAAAATAAGCTCACAGCTCATACATCGCTATAGGAAGAGTCAAACACTGAGGTCGCTGGAGGAAGAGGTTAAGAAGGTGAAGGAAAATGAGAAGAAGAAGAAGAAGAAGAAGAAGAAGAAGAAGAAGAAGAAGAAGAAGAAGATAAAGAAGAAGAAGAAGAAGAAGAATAAGAAGAAGAAAAAGAAGAAGAAGAAGAAGAAGAAGAAGAAGAAGAAGAAGAAGAAGAAGAAGAAGAAGAAGAAGAAAAGACCTCAGTTGACGTGATTCGTCATTCGCCACTGTTACTGACCATTTAATTTATCTGACATGATCAGACTGATAACAGTAGCCTGACCCAAGGAGTCATCTCTTTAATCAAGCCATTGGTTTTCATCCAGCACTGAGGCTAATCTCTCAAAAAAATGGGATCTGTTACCAAGTTTGAATCCATTCTAATTCCCAACGTGTCATCAGGTCTTCTGTTTCCACAAGTTAGAAAGATCAGAGTGTATAGTTCCAGTGCCACTTCATTTATTTACAGTGGTTTGAGGTTTGAGGTTTTGAATAAAGAATCGAAATCATGGCGCACAGGTGTAACCCATAAATGATCGCTTCTTCTTCTAACTCAAGTCTGAGTCCAAAGAAGCTCAGCATAGTGCACAGGCTCCGTAGCAACCGGCGAGGAACCTGAAAAAAATTAAGCAGATTTTTAACTCCAACTATTGCCCGGGCATCGCCGTTAGGCTACTCTTTTCGATTTCCAACTGCCAAGGGATTTTTTTAAAGTGCGCAACAATTTACACGGACGCCCATTCTCACACTACCCCTAGACGAGCGGAATTACTAGAAGTCTAAGTCCATGTGAAAAAATCCAAGCCCTTACCGGGAATTGAAACCAGAATCTCTATCACTCGAGGCGGACACCATGCCTCGAGACCACGCATACCCTGTTTATTTATAGTGTTGGTCATTGAGTATGGTCTGTAAATCTATCTGTCCGGTTACAGCTATTGTTGTAAATCTGTGCCCCTCGTATCTAGACGTTCTGCTATAAAGCATAGCACTTTTCTTAAAACAGTCATCTTAAACATTTTATGTGCACCTTCATTTTATAACAAAATAATACATGCCAATCTGTTACTGTGAAGGTAAAGAAATATAAACTGCACATCCAATTAGGAAAAATTTGTCGTATGTTTTTTGAAAGATAACAAACAACAAATGACACGTCTTTCTTCTTCATCATCGTTCTCATCAGGAGTTCCGGGCCTTTGAACTTCGATGTTTATTTATGTTTGTGTTTTTTCAACGGATCAGCATCATCGCACAAGAGTGTAACCCATAAGTGCTTAGTTCTTCTTCTAACTCAAGTCTGAGTCTGTAGAATCTCAGCACAGTGAATGAAATCCGTAGCGCCGGCGAGGATCCTGAAATACTTTGGCAGATTTTTAATTCCAAATTTTGCCCGGTTTGATTTGCAACGGCCAAGGGATCTTTTCCGTGCGACACAATACACACTAGAAGTCCACTTGCAAAAATCTTAGCCTTCACTGGGGCTTGAACCCGGGACCTTTACCACTCGAGACGGACACCACGCCTGGAGACCACGCAACTCCCTGAATTTCCTTGTTGTGGATTTCGATCCATTGATCAGTTTATCCCAATCTGACCAGACTATCCTGAGGTGTACAACAATCTCAGTCTGGATGACGGACCAACCAGGCGCATCCCAGATACCCGGTTCAACTTCCAAAAAAGTTATAATTAGAGCACTCGTGACGCTGACGCCAGCCAGGTGTAACCTACGATTCTTTTGCAAATATCACCCGCCTCCATGCATCTCAGTGATTGTGCTTCTCTTGCCTGTTGATGACTCCAAGTGTTTGCAGGTCTGTCTGCATAAACCATCTCCACCGTTTACTTGGCCGCCCCATTGTCTGCGGCCCACTGAAAACTGTTGTACACGCAGTTGTTCTCTTTGTTTTGCCATCCTCTCTCTCTATGTTGCCCCACCAATATAGTCTACTAGTCAGTAATTGAAAGTATCTCATCAGAAATGAATCTCGTTGTTGATTCTTGCCCTTCATTCCCCGCTGTTTGCATCTTTGATGGCTACACAATTCGGCGGAAGATCGTTCTCAAAAGTTTATAAATACGTCTTCGTCTCTTTTAGATGTACTACAGGTTTCATAGCCAGACAGGAGGTGTTATACGTATTGTGTGTGTGTGTGTGTGTGTGTGTGTGTGTGTGTAGTGTGTGTCAGTCACATAAAATACACAAACACACATACACAAACATATGTGTATATGTGTAATATCGTGTGCGCGCGGGCGTGAGTGTTAAGATGTATATCTGTGCTTGTGTGTGTGTATGTTATGAAAAACTAAACAGTAACTAAAAAAAAAAGTTAAAAAATACTCTTTTATCTTATATTAGAACGTTAGAGGAAAAAAAAGATTAGTGCATTTGTTGTTATTTGTTAACCAAACAAGCTACGTATTGCTAAGTATAAAACACATATGACAGTTTTTAATAAAGATTGAACTACACACACATATATATATATATCCATATATAACACTGTGCATATGCTACTGGAAAGCTGGGAGAAAAAAAATTATAAAAAAAACCACAACAACAAAACTACACTAAATGCCACCTACCATAAAACAGAAATTGTATGGTTTGGGCACCCCAAACTCCCCGGGTCGGACATTGTCCAGGTAAAAAGCGATGATCATGTGGATTGTACTGCTAACCAGCAGCATTATCAAACAGTCCAGAAAACTAATGCTGTATTTATCTGCCGGTCTATAGTGAATGTTGCTCCAAGTCACGCCTTCCCCTGGAAGTATGGAATTGTGATAACGGTTAACATAATTTTATAATACCATTCATAGGAACAAAGAAGGCACGCATAGCAGTCGTAAACAATGCAAAGCATTGCCATTAGTGTGAACAAAGAAAGCACTAATTGACATTAAAAAAAAACCACTGTCACTAGTGTGAACAAAGAAATCACTCACTGACAAAAAAAAACAAAACAATGTCACTCGTGTGAACAAAGAAAGCACTCATTGACATAAAAAAACAATGCCATTAGTGTGAACAAAGAAAGCACACATTTACATTAAAAAAACCAATGTCACTAGTGTGAACAAAGAAAGCACTCATTGACATAAATTAACACTGTCACTAGTGTGAACAAAGAAAGCACACATTTACATTAAAAAAAACAATATCACTAGTGTGAACAAAGAAAGCACTCATTGACATAAAATAACACTGTCACTAGTGTGAACAAAGAAAGCACTCATTGACATAAAAAAACAATGTCACTAGTGTGAACAAAGAAAGCACTCATTGACATAAATTAACAATGTCACTAGTGTGAACAAAGAAAGCACTCATTGACATAAATTAACACTGTCACTAGTGTGAACAAAGAAAGCACACATTTACATTAAAAAAAACAATATCACTAGTGTGAACAAAGAAAGCACTCATTGACATAAATTAACACTGTCACTAGTGTGAACAAAGAAAGCACTCATTGACATAAATTAACAATGTCACTAGTGTGAACAAAGAAAGCACACATTTACATTAAAAAAAACAATATCACTCGTGTGAACAAAGAAAGCACTCATTGACATAAAATAACACTGTCACTAGTGTGAACAAAGAAAGCACTCATTGACATAAATTAACAATGTCACTAGTGTGAACAAAGAAAGCACTCATTGACATAAATTAACACTGTCACTAGTTTGAACACAGAAAGACCTCATTGACATAAATTAACAATCTCACTAGTGTGAACAAAGAAAGCACACATTCTCATTAAAAAAAAAACAATATCACTAGTGTGAACAAAGAAAGCACTCATTGACATAAAATAACACTGTCACTAGTGTGAACAAAGAAAGCACTCATTGACATAAATTAACAATGTCACTAGTGTGAACAAAGAAAGCACTCATTGACATAAATTAACACTGTCACTAGTGTGAACAAAGAAAGCACTCATTGACATAAAATAACAATGTCATTAGTGTGAACAAAGAAAGCACTCATTGACATAAAATAACAATGTCATTAGTGTGAACAAAGAAAGCACTCATTGACATAAAATAACAATGTCATTAGTGTGAACAAAGAAAGCACTCATTGACATAAATTAACAATGTCACTAGTGTGAACAAAGAAAGCACACATTTACATTAAAAAAAACAATATCACTAGTGTGAACAAAGAAAGCACTCATTGACATAAATTAACACTGTCACTAGTGTGAACAAAGAAAGCACTAATTGACATAAATTAACAATGTCACTAGTGTGAACAAAGAAAGCACTCATTGACATAAATTAACAATGTCACTAGTGTGAACAAAGAAAGCACTCATTGACATAAATTAACACTGTCACTAGTGTGAACAAAGAAAGCACACATTTACATTAAAAAAAAACAATATCACTAGTGTGAACAAAGAAAGCACTCATTGACATAAAATAGCACTGTCACTAGTGTGAACAAAGAAAGCACTCATTGACATAAATTAACAATGTCACTAGTGTGAACAAAGAAAGCACTCATTGACATAAATTAACACTGTCACTAGTGTGAACAAAGAAAGCACTCATTGACATAAATTAACAATGTCACTAGTGTGAACAAAGAAAGCACACATTTACATTAAAAAAAACAATATCACTAGTGTGAACAAAGAAAGCACTCATTTACATAAAATAACACTGTCACAAAAAAACAATATCACTAGTGTGAACAAAGAAAGCACTCATTGACATAAAATAGCACTGTCACTAGTGTGAACAAAGAAAGCACTCATTGACATAAATTAACAATGTCACTAGTGTGAACAAAGAAAGCACTCATTGACATAAATTAACAATGTCACTAGTGTGAACAAAGAAAGCACTCATTGTCATAAATTAACAATGTCACTAGTGTGAACAAAGAAAGCACTCATGGACATAAATTAACAATGTCACTAGTGTGAACAAAGAAAGCACTCATTGACATAAAATATCAATGCCATTAGTGTGAACAAAGAAGCCTTATAACCGACGTTAATATATAATAACAATGGCAGTACTTTGAACAAAGAATGCATTCATAACAAATATTAACATAAAATAACACTACTATTAGTGTAAACATAGAATGCATTCATAAAAGACCTTAACATAACATTACAATGCAATTAGTTTGAACGAGGAAGGTACACATAACAGAGGTTACATTACCATTATGATGTTTAAAAAAAAGGCACACATGCCCTGCAGCTATGCAGCTAACATAACATTACATTTTACATTGCCATTGGTTTGAACAAGGAAGGCACACATGCGCAACTGCTAGCATAACATTACATTGCCATTAGTTTTAACAAGGAAGGCACACATGCCCAGTCGCTAGCATAACATTACTTTGCCATTAGTTTTAGCAAGAAAGGCACACATGCCCAGTCGCTAGCATAACATTACTTTGCCTTTAGTTTGAGTTCAAAAGGCAAACATGCCCAGTCGCAAACATAACATAACATTGCCATTAGTTTAAAACAGAAAGCACACATGCCCAGTCGCTAGCATAACATTACATTGCTATTAGTTCGAGTACAGAAGGCACACATGCCTAGTAGCTAATATAACATCACATGATGGATCTTTTTGCAGGTTTCAGCTACCTCCTTTATCGATTTCTTTGTCTTTCCCTTGCCTTTTCCCCGGATGTTTCACATGCAGTTTGTTCTGCCTGTATTCTCACTAGATGGACGAATTATTTCATTCTCTGTTTGTTAATGTTTTTCAGACACGGCCCTACTCCAACTGTCTCTAAAATGCTGATATTCGTAACCGTATCTCTTCTTGTGTTGTTAGTGAGTGACTTTAGGACACAGCGCAGTTACAAACAGAAAAAAAAATGTTAAAACTTAAATTGGGATTAGATAAACAAAGTATAGTCTGTTCTTGGGGACTATGGGAAACAGGTGAAAAGTGCTAGAGAATATCAAAGCCGTGTACTTTACAAGACAAAGTGCACTAAGAAAACAAGAAGTCTTACAAATATGTTCACAGTCAACACCGATGTGAAACAGTCATGTGTTCTCTCCCAACGTTTACTTAACATGTAAATAGAAAGAAGAACTAAAGAAGCCAGTTCGAACACAAACGAAACAGACCATTATAATCATGAGGAAGTACACAAGTATGACGAAGTAATCGACTCACCCACATTATACAAACTACTACTTGCTGGCTATCAATGCTTTTTTTTTTTTCTACAGCTAGGAAGATAGACGGCAATACAACATTAATAGGTTAAGCTCAGCATGCAGTAAACACAGTATGAAGATAAAAGCGAACGAAACCGAAACAATGCAAGTCAGTAGAAACCTGGCTCACTGCACAAACAGCTAAATGGTTCTGGCCTGAAATAAGTTAGGAAGTGTGACCACCGACGATGACATAACTGAGAAAAACAGAAAATAGATGTCAGAAAGCAAGTGCACCTATATGCTAACTCTTACAAAGACATCCAAAACAATATATATATATATATATATATATATATATATATATATATATATATATATATATATATATATATATATGGTCCGACAATTAAGTAATGAGACTTATTCCATAAAAATTAAAATAATCAACAGTTGAAGATATAACCTGTATTTTATTCAAAGTAAGCCCCTTGTGCATTGATATAGCGAGTAGCACGATCTAACAAACACAGGAATGACCTCTGTAGTTTTTCTGTTGCTATGGCCCTTATAGTCGATGTTACGGCCCTTTTGATGCCATCAGTATCGCCTAAGAAGCGTCCTTTCAATGGTAACTTCATTTTGGGAATAGAAAATAATCACAGGGAGACAAATCTGAGGAATTGGGTGGATGGTTGAGAACGCACACTTGTTTTGGGGCTAAACATTCCTGTTTTGATGATGTCTCATGAGTACTCAACCCACTGATGTTTTTGGTTATCAGACAACGAATGCTGTACAAGCCTAGAAGCAACTTTTTTAATTGCCAAAATCTTGCACTACAATTTTATGAAGGGTCTCTCTATTAACACCAGAATTATCTCCCATCATCTGGACAGTAAAACAACGATCTTCTTGTATTCTTTCTCTGACTTTTGCAATGAGTTCATCATTACAAACAGAAATTGATCGTCCAGGTCTAGCTACACGAGTAATCATTTCTACACCACTTTTCAATCGATCGTGAATACTAGCTGAAAATCTGTGCACCAGATAAGAAATTATCCCCATAAACTTGTCGCATCAATTCAACTGTTTCAATAGCGCTTTTTCTGAATTTTAAACATAAGTAAATGTTAGCTTTTACTCCATGCTGATTTCATAACTTTGCACATCTAACTAGGACAATATTACGGTGTCTTGTTTGTCGTTTGCAAAGTTGCCAGATCATAGATGAAGGTTGCATCTGTGGATTCTATGTTTTGCTTCATAGATGACACCTTTGTCTTGGCCGTAATAAAATCATTCCTTAATTGTCAGATCGTTTATATGTATATATATAATTAAACAACATATTCATGTCAACATTTAGTACGAATGCTAAACATAGACATTATCTAAAGCGCAGCACTTACGAGATGAGATACCTGAACAACGCCACCGAACCAACATCCCAGATTGAGTGAATATTAATATTAATAATAATACTGTCAGACATATTGTGGGAAAACCTTGTACAAGATTCAAAGTGGAACAGCAGATCAAGTGTTCTAGCTATGAATGCAGCAATAATCAAACACCCTCATAGACACACCTCAGAAGATTAGCTACAAGAGCGAGAAGACGTCAACGAAATGTGGATCGACAACAGTAAAAATACTTTACGCCTTTATGGCATACAATAGCCAGTGGCAGCCAGCGTGCACTGGATCGCACAATTATTCCTCCCAATGTCACTTAATGACAGAAGTTGTTAATGACGATGGTAGTGGTAATGAATAAAGAATCGACGTCACAGCAGTGAGAACGTTCGTATCTTCAACAGCAGAGTTTCAGTTCCGTTAGCACCAGTAACAGCCGGATTGGGTATCAGTAGAGGTACCTTGAAGTCGCTCACTGTGTAAAGACGTCGACTGTGATAATATAATATAATGTAGCATATCCGTCTCGCCGTTCTCTTGAGTGGTTAGTTTTTTTTTTTTGTTTTTTTTTAAGATAAAGTTTATCAAATCAAATTAACCGGACACACAAATATTGCAATTGAAAAAAAAGCAATTGAAAGTTTACTTAAAAAATCGATTTTTTACAAATGTCATGGCATCACTATGACCAGACGGCCCGTAAGTATAGTTGGCTTTCATAACTTGACATTGGCACCAGAACATATTATGGAAAATAACGTCTGTAGGTAAAGAATAGAAAAGAAGAAGAAGAAGAAAAAGATGAAGAAGAGGAAGAAGAAGAAAAAGAAGAAGAATAAGAAGAAAAAGAAGAAGAAGAGGAGGAGGAGGAGAAGAAGAAGAAGAAGAAGAAGAAGAAGAAGAAGAAGAAGAAGAAGAAGAAGAAGAAGAAGAAGAAGAAGAAGAAAAAGAAGAAGAAGAAGAAGAAGAAGAAGAAGAAGAAGAAGAAGAAGAAGAAAAAAAAGATGAAGAAGAAGAAGAAAAAGAAGAAGGAGGAGGAGGAGGAGGAGGAAGAGAAAAAGAAAAAGGAGAAGAAGAGGAAGAAGAAGAAGAAAAAGAAGAAGAAGAAGAAGAAGAAGAAGAAGAAGAAGAAGAAGAAGAAGAAGAAGAAGAAGAAGAAGAAGAAGAAGAAGAAGAAGAAGAAGAAGAAGAAGAAGAAGAAGAAGAAGAAGAAAAAGAAGAAGAAGAGGAAGAAGAAGAAGAAGAAGAAGAAGAAGAAGAAGAAGAGGAGGAGGAGGAGGAGGAGAAGGAGGAGGAGGAGAAGAAGAAGAAGAAGAAGAAGAAGAAGAAGAAGAAGAAGAAGAAGAAGAAGAAGAAGAAGAAGAAGAAGAAGAAGAAGAAGAAGAAGAAGAAGAAGAAGAAGAAGAAGAAGAAGAAGAAGAAGAAGAAGGAGGAGGAGGAGGAGGAGGAGGAAGAGAATAAGAAAAAGGAGAAGAAGAGGAAAAAGAAGAAGAAGAAGAAGAAGAAGAAGAAGAAGAAGAAGAAGAAGAAGAAGAAGAAGAAGAAGAAGAAGAAGAAGAAGAAGAAGAAGAAGAAGAAGAAGAAGAAGAAGAAGAAGAAATACGAATACTAACCCGATCCCTCATATCGGCCTAATTCATTTAAGGCCATACTCATAGCTGTGTTAAATGAAAAGCAGAAAAGCAGCTTGTCTCTTCGGCTCAATATCGCATAATGTTCAATCAAATAAAAGGTAGGTAAATAGGACAGAAAAAAACCGATTCCTGAGGCAACTGCTCCAACGTTGCCTGAAACAAAGAGATAGTTGAGTTAAAATGTGTTAATGCACACACACAAACTCTGATCTAACATACAGAAGATAGTAGAAGCTAGAGTACATCATCAAGGGGTGATATGCAGCTTTTGTTACGAGCCAGACGTAAATCGAAACTTACATTTCCATTTATATTGTGATAATGCAGCTTTTTGACTCGTTTTTCTTCCTGAACCTCACACTTGCCTTAGTCAAGCTGTGAAATCTGGGAACATGATAGTACATTCAAAACATGACGATATCGTTTATTGCGGCACAACAATAAGTCATTGTGTCGGTGTCCACAGTTCTCTCTAGTCGTTGACCTGTGCTCACGACTGACCACCACGATAGGACGACAGTTAAACACCTGGTGTAGTGACTGACTGACTGACTTTCTACCCCACCAGGACATCACACAAGCGATAAACACCCGATGACACAAAGTGCCACCATGCGGATGAGGTTCACCGTGGAGAGGTCCCAGAAACCGCGTTCAGACAATTGGCCATATTTATGCCCTGCCTATTTTGCGGCCCCTGGCAAAAGCCAGGGTGGGGCTTCAAATAACAAAAATATTCGTCCTAAAAAGGACGAAATTGGATATATTACCTGCTGTAGTTACTTGCCAGTCAGAACGTTCCATTCGCTCCTGTATTGGCATCTGAATCACAATGACACAAATGTTCTCCAACACTATAGTAGTATAGTTTGTTGAACAAGTGATAAACACACTTGCAAGCGATTTTCCCGAAAACTGCCAGTTAGATCGCAATGATTTTTTCCATGCAGCTCTAGTTCTTTTTCTTCTTCTTTCGTTCGCCTGATATAAGTTGTCTTTATCAGCAAATTTATCTCTTGTATAAATTTCACTGTCGTTGTTAGTTCATTCAGTGGTCCATAGAGTTTACGTTCCATTGTTGTTCTTTCTGACCAAAAGGTTTGCCTTAATGTGTCAAATTCGCTGCAGTCCTGGAGTACATGCTCTGCTGTCTGGGGCACTTTTCCACAGGTGCACATGGCTGATACACCTATCTTGAATTTTGTGTACATGTGGTTACGTAATCGGTTGTGTCCTGTTCTGAGGGGGAGGATAATGACTTGTTTAGGCTATCCATAATAAAATAGTCGTCTTGTGCTGGGGCTGGTGGTTTCCCGATGGATTTAATTATCCTTTTCTTTTAGTGGTATGTGACTGGTACATCCGGCTGAACTTGTGTCGCACTTTCCCTTGCCAGTTGATCAGCTTTCTCATTTCCAGGCACCCCACAACGAGACGGTATCCACTGCATTACGACTCTTCCGTGAAGGATTAGTTGTGTCAGTGGTGTTTGCAATTCTGGTAGTTTCCTAGACTGGGGTGCTTCAAGTACGGGTTTTGCATCTGTCAGCATTACCACATACTGTGAGCCAAGATAGGTATTTAGCAGTTTCTCTGTTGCTACCTTGATAGCCTGAGTTTCTGCATCATAGTTATGGCAGTACTTTTCGGCTGGTACGCTGGACTTATCCCTAGTACCATCTGGGAATTCTATGTACACTCCAGCATCACCATTTCTAATTGCACTTTGTGCTGACCCATCTTTATATACTCAGACCCATTGTTCTTGTGGGTATTCTTCACCAAAATAACCGATGGTGGCCATTCTGCGTTGTATACTATCTTGCTCTTTCTTGTCAATTATTCCTTTCCCATTTGTCTGGATTTGTAGTGATGGTTTTAATTTTTCTCTCTGTGGGGTTTGTTCTAGATACTTTTAAGTCGACCACAAATGTCTGGAAGGTCAGAATTCTTTTTGCTTGGTGTATAAAGCTGCTTCTTTTTAACCGCCCCAAAACTAGGTTCTGAAATCTATATTTCATGTGGTGATCTGGCATTCTGATGAACTTTTCATCTTGTATTTGCAAATTTGTATCACTACGTTCTCTCAGTGCCTGTGTTTTCCCAGCTTTCTCGATTTCTAAAATGGCGGTTGATTTCATCCTTCCTGTGATGACTCTAAGAACTTGATTTTGCACTTTGTCCAACTCCTTTAATGTGGTACTAGATGCTGAACACCATGCAGTTGACCCATGTTCCAAGTGTGGAAGTATGCTCTGCCTGTATACTTTATTGCGTATTTTCCCCCTGGCTACCCATGTGGTTCCACTTAGTTTTCATAGTATGGCTGTATTCCTTCTGACTTTGGTTGCTGCCTTGTTGATATGTTTTCTCCATGTCAATCTGTCATCAAATGTGACTACGAGGTACGATTTGTCGCAGTAGAACTTTTTTTTCACTTTTGGAACCATCTACCTGTACCCAGGCTAGTCTGTTATCTAGATATGATTTTAATCCAATTGTTCATTCTTCCATTTATGTTATAGTTTCTCAGTTTCTTCAAAAGCCCCTCCTTCCAAACCTTGTCAAAAGCTTTACTTAAATCTATCCATGCCGCGAGTATCAGATTCCTATCTTTAAAAGCATCCTCTTACTATATACATACATAAAGTTGTATTCTTTAGTCCATAGATGCTCATGGTGCTGAATATCAGCCAATCCTTTAATCTTTTCGAACCATTGTAAAAAAGGTTGAGGGAACTTTTTAGATTTTACAGTGAACATCTCTATTTTTTGTTCATTAGCGTGTCTTCCTTATACATTGATAAGTGAAGTAAATATATTTGCTGTCATGTATGTTCAACTGAGTTGAGCTGAGTCAAGAAAGATATCACAGCACTCGGGGTATTCATATATGCGCATCGTCCCCATCTTCAACAGCCAGCGTAGAGTTCCAATACTAAAGATACAGGCCGCTTCTGATTATATGTCTATCTGGTCTTTTCTCTGAGCGTAGTGCACCGGCCAGACCCTTTGGTCACACCCATGTATCATTCTCCCCAGGCCATGATAATGTATTTTCTTTTCTGACTTCGTTACTTGTTCCCAACGGGCCCTGACCACATCTGCCTAGTCATGCCTCAACTCACCACCCAGTGATGCAGATCCAGCCAATCTGTCTGCCTTGTTAAATTGTAAAAGTGTCCCCAATCTGCAACTGTAAGTTTTTCCCTTCGGTCACCATTATACCCCAAGGTGTATCTTAAGTAGTAACGGCAAACTGTATTAGGCATTTGGATATGAAGATGTATTAGTTGCGACTGTAGATCTACTTGACAGGTGGATGATATTCAACCACTCATCAAAAAATCGTTTTATTCATTCCGAATCTGACGATCGCAAAAGATTGAAAACTGCTACTGGCTGAACAAATTGTAATCCATCTCGGAGCAAGTACTCGTCTTTCTCTCGGAGCATATGTTCAGTTTATTTTTTCCAGAAATGAATGTCTATTATTGCGATGGACTGACGTGTCAGAACTTTAACATCACACGTTTTAAATGTAATTGTCTTTTATGGCAACTTGTCTTTTGACTTTAGCCCAACAAGCTCTATCGGGTTAAGGTGTGAATGATATGCAGGGAGTCGCAGAGTGTGGCCGTATTCATTAATGATTTTGTCAGTGTGATACATATGTGTCTTATCTGTTTTCCCCACAAGTCGCAACAACTCTGCCTTCAAATATGTGTCGTCAAAGTTGACTTTCTTCCTAACAAACCATGTCCTAATTTGATCTTTTGTGTTTGACGTTGTTGGCATTTTGTAGTCCTCTGATACGGCATTATGTTAGGCGGCATTATCCATTACTAGGCATGATGGTCAGTCCAGAATTGGAAAGAGATAATTCACCATCCAGTGCCTGAAAATGTGTCCATTTATTTCAGCGTAGTAGTCCCTACCATCCGTACGTTTTGACTAGAAAATAAGTCTAGCGTTGAGGATAAGGCCTTTTTCACTTCTTCCTTCATAAGTGAGTATAATTCACTGCCCTCTGCTGCTTGGAATGTTTCTTTTATGTTCACCGTTTACTGATTGCTATTTTTTTTTAGCATAGGTAAGGTGAGCTTTAACCCAGGATTCATCCAAAAATACAATAGCATACCCTTGCCTCCTTCGCTCACGTATCAGTCAGAGGGAATTGCTTCAAGGTGACTTTCCACAAATAATATCCCTTCCACCTGTAATTTTCCTGAAAGTGAGCCCGGTGGCTCTTACAATTTTCCACAGACTACTTTTTGAAATGTCAATACTGAATTGTGATCTGAATGTTTTTTCAAGTTTTCGGAGGTAACAAGTTGATTTGTGTCTAACATTTTCAAGATCTCACGTCTAATGACATCTACATCAAAGTCGTCAAATTTCTTTTTCTTTCCTTGCTTTACATGAACGTACTCTGTGCCCTGTCTAATCCAACTGTTAAATGATGCTCTGTCCAGAACAAGCGCCAATCGTGTTCGTTTCTCTGGCTCATGAATATCACAATATAAATGACCCTTCTTAGATTCCCCAAGGAAGTGCTGGTACAGTAAAAAGGTTACCTTCTGCATATTTATAAATTAGCATCTCAAATTAATTTTAAAGTTGATGTCTATGTCTGCTTTTATAAGATAGCTATGTAACACAATAACTCAACACTAATTTGTAAAGTCCAACTATCACTGTATGTACTCACTGGGCCACTCCCACTGGCATCCGTCTCAATTGGATCTTTATTCTTTATCCTCCACCAAAAAGCTTGACTCAGTTCCCATAGTTTTGGTGGTGTTAATTGCTTATCATGTTTGTGTATAGAGTATTATCTCTTTACTTTGTATTATTGTATCATATTATCTACGTGAAAAGCATTTACCATCACTGTCATATACATAATTTACCTCATCATAATGCATCATAATAATTACAATTCAATTCACTCTCTGTTACATTATATCATCAAAGCCATTGTCTTGTCTGTTATGTTAGTTACAAGTAGATATAAACAATTAACACAAAAATCGTCTGTTGGTAAATAAAATTATCTGCTTTAATCAGGCTGTCTTTAGAATAGTGGTGTTGCAAAAAGATATTTAATATTTTTCAAAATGGTGTCATGACTCTCTTCATAATCAGTCTTTTTAAATTGGTCTTTCTGGAGAAGTTCAGCTAACGGGATTTGACATAATTTACCAAACCTAATAATGACTGTAACTGTAATTTTTTTTTTTTTGGGGGTCTTAGGTTTTGCAATTTTCAGAATTGTTGACACAGTACTCTCATCAGTCTGGCTTTGCTTCAAACATGACATATCCTAAATACTGTATGCGTGTGTGGCAGAATTTTGATTTTAATGAATCGTTAGCTTTTCTAATATTTTAAAAGACCTTGTGCAAAGTTTCTTTATGTTCTGGTCACTATTTTATATGTATACAAATATCGTCCATATGAAATAAAAAAATTTGAACTCATTCAACATTTGTTAATTAATCTTCTTACATACATTTTTACCCGGGCAGCGTTGTTAGGCTGCTGCTGCGCCTTCTTCTTCTTCTTCATCTTCTTCTTCTTCTTCTTCTTCTTCTTCTTCTTCTTCTTCTTCTTCTTCTTCTTCTTCTTCTTCTTCTTCTTCTTCTTCTTCTTCTTCTTCTTTTTCTTCTTCTTCTTCTTCTTCTTCTTCTTCTTCTTCTTCTTCTTCTTCTTCTTCTTCTTCTTCTTCTTCTCTTCTTCTTCTTCTTCTTCTCTTCTTCTTCTTCTTCTTCTTCTTCTTCTTCTTCTTCTTCTTCTTCTTCTTCTTCTTCTTCTTCTTCTTCTTCTTCTTCTTCTTCTTCTTCTTCTTCTTCTCTTCTTCTTCTTCTCTTCTTCTTCTTCTTCTTCTTCTTCTTCTTCTTCTTCTTTTTCTTCTTCTGCCTGTCTAAGCCACAATGAAGAATAGGCCCTCAACCAACTCATGCCAAATTGTTCTATCTTCCATCATCTCTAGCTCCCTTTGTCTTCCTTTATTTCTATCTCCCCCTGCCTTCCTGTTCTAAACGAGGCACAGGACCACATGAGGAATTATTTTCATGTTTACAAATTTGCGTCTTTACCTTTTTGGACTAAAGTGCTGACCATGAAGCAATACGTGATGATAGCATGCGCATAAACCAAGAGCAAAACGAAGAACACAGTGCCGCTGGTGTTAAACAGCACCGGACCCTGGCTGGAGACTGGCAGTGAAAACATCATGGCGTAGATACCCATGGCTGGAACCAAGTACACGCACAGTGTCAGGTACCACGACAGCCAATACGCTGTCGATGTCAGGCCCATCAGTTTCATGGATTCCTGTAAGTAAAATAGAAGATCCGTTTGAAGTCCTTGGCGAGTGGGAGTATGACACTACTCACTTTTAACAGACCAATCAGCGCTCATTAGGTGATGTAGTGCCAACCGACTTTGTTTACCATGTCAGAGTGTGCGAATTCTGTGTCATTTATCACTGCTCCGTCAACTAGCTGCTTCATTCACTATTCTAGTCTGTACTTCAGTCAATTTTGTTTAGGAACTTCATTCTGGGTCTGGTTCATTACAGGTTTTCAACTTATCATCCATTGCAACGTAACAGTCGAAATCTGTTCATTTGATTTCCACTATTAGCAGTGGACTGTGCAAAGGGGCTAAAACTTTATTCTTTAGGGTTTGTGACAAATCTAGTTTTTAAACAAGCTTCTGTATCATTTCTGGCTGAAACTTACTCCACACAGAACTGATCCAGAGAATAGCAGCCAGGGCCTTGCGTGACATAGCTGATGAAGTTGTTTCCACAAGCGAACCAACGATTTGTGTTGAAATTAAAACCCATCGCAATAAGTGGGCCCGGCAGTGCATTTTAATTTGACTGACTGACTGACTTTCTACCCCACCAGGACATCACACAAGCGATAAACACCCGATGACACAATGTGCCACCATGTGTCCCAGAAACCGCGTTCAGCCTTTAGGCCATATTTATGGCCAGGCTATATTGCGGCCTCTGGCAAGAGCCAGAGTAAGGCTTCAAATAACGACAAATTTCAGCTTGAAAAGGACGGAAAGTACAATACTCAGAAGTATCTACACATTTTAATTTGTTGAAGCCTCGACGAAAAGGGCGGGTTTCTGAGTTTGTTTTTGAAGGCAGAAATATGAGTGACACGTTTATAACAAAATCCTCTTGTGTGTGGTCAGGGCCAGGTCAACTGTCAGTAGAATAAACAATTTCTTCTCCTTCATTTCTCCTTTATATCACCTACCCACTGCTCGGACAGAAGGCTAGCTGCCCAGGCGGATATGTTTCATCTTCAATATTGGGATGGTCTTGCAGATTTGCTAGTTACCGAAAGCTTTAATTCCTCTCGGGCCGAGTTAACACAAGGCATAATTATGAATCTAAGTTTCTGGACATGTGGCCCTGTACTATGGGATGAAGAATAGGTCGTATTTCATGCTAAATTGGAATCTTCTATCAAACAAAAACATTTCAAATACAAAGGAATTTTTGGAAAGAGCATCTTGACCTTTTCGGATGAAAACAGAATTACTGAAAGCAATTATAAAAAGACAGTTGAAATACTTTGAAGTCTGGCGAAGGAAGGACACATTTTAGTGAACGCATCCATAAATCCTGCTAAAACTTCATTAGATTCACCACAAACAACTTTCTGTGAGATCGCGTGGTCATAGTTTAAATTTGTCCAGCTAACCACCTGATGCTTTGAATTCGTCTGCTAAATCGTAGGGGCATTTTTTGTGTGTGGATGCGACTTTTTGATTCATCAGCACGGAGGTTTGGACGATAACTGCCTTAATTTGTTTCAGCAGCATTAATAAAGAGAATTTCATTTCCCTCACTGCTGTCAATCTTCCTTTAATTTATCACAGCTCTTCAGGTTCTCATGCTTTAACTTGTGAATATTGCATTGCTGCCTATGATCTTTCTAACTCCAATATGTACAGCTGTCTTGGCCTGCTACTTCGTTATTTGAAGCAGAAACAAAAAACAACATCCTCTTGTGTGGGTCAGTCCAACATTTACTTTGAGAGATTGTTGTTACATCTCTCTCTCTCTCTCTCATGCGGATATGTCTCCTCTCTCTCTCTCTCTCTCTCTCTCTCTCTCTCTCTCTCTCTCTCTCTCTCTCTCTGTGTGTGTGTGTCTGTGTGTGTGTGTGTGTGTGTGTTGCCCCTCTGGGGGGAGGGGGTTAAATCTAGTTTAACTAGCGGTAACATCAGAACGTGTGAAATACTGTCACTTTGCAACATTTTTAGGTATACATACGCACAAAACAACATTTTCAACACTAAATACACTCAAATTAAACTACCATAAGTTGTCAAGTAATACGAGAAAACTGTATTCAAACTAGTATAACACATTACAAAAAAAAAGTCCATGTTCCACGCCTTTAGGTATATAGGGCAAATAAGGCTAGACCTATACTTTATAGACCAATCGGCACAAGATGTAACACATTATAGCTGAGAACTAACTTAAGTAGGACAAGTGCTAAAAACGAAGTCTGCGTTTTACAGTTCCGACATTTGTATGTAGGCTGCTGGTTCCTTGCCCCTCAGGCAGATGCACTCCGACTTCAAAGAAAGCTCCCAATTAGTCGACTTACGACGCTTTAAAATTATTTTTTTAAAAAGGTTTTGGGGCTATTTTTGTTTTCCCTATAATGAAGTCCCTGAACCCAGACAAGAAGCTTTAATACTGATAAACTTTCCGCAGTTCATTATCACTAAACTGAACCTACTTAATAAAGAGCTCTACAACTGCCATAACCACAAGTAGACAAAAGGAAGCGGCAAATCTCTTTATGACACTTCATGGACATATGACAGTCTTAACTAGTCATTTCAATTCATTTTTTGAGATCACAAGACGACCACACGATCATTGTGCTTTTTTAACTATGGCAGAGCCGCTATTTTAGACATCGGCGGCAGGGGCGCCTATTGGCTCGCCTGTAGGCGACTTCGTCTCCAGTACGAACAGTATTTGGGTCTGTCTCCTGTGATTGCTTCAACGGTTAATTTTACGTTTTCCGGCCCAGAAAGAGAGTGACTTTCCTTCCCATTCATACAGGTCATTACTATGTTGAGGGGGTTGGGTGGGGGGGGGGGGGGTCATATTTTCTTATTGTCAAAGCTTTAACCGTTCTTCTTCTTTATCCCTTTTCACCACTCGCTTGCATGATTATTTTCACGTTCTGCTACATTCGCGACGGTTCGAGGGTATGGAAACAGTGATATTTTTCTATTCCTTCGTTCCTTGTAAGTGTTTTCTTTCTCTCGGGGAGGGGGGGGGGGGGCACGGCCAACGAACGTAGAAATACAAAAGCATCCCAGTTTCGATTCCCCCTGTAGTACTTCTTACTTGTACATAGGCGCCTGCTGCGCCTGGAATGCACTCACTAGAACACAACCTCCCACAAACATTATATACGCCGAGCCAAACCGAGCCCTATCATAACACCCCCCCCCCCCGGCAACGTAGGAAAGATACTGCGACTCGACAAGGCATGAATGGCAAGGAAAGTCACTCCCTTTCTGGGGCGAAAATCGTAACATGAACCACTTTAACACATTTTTAGGATCTTGGTGGCGTGCAATGCTAATAGCCATTTTGTATGACACATAAACTAGTGACAGTAATAATAATGTTGAGAAAATAGCCGAAGCCGCGACTGACTGATTCGCAAGCGAGCGTCTAGCCGCTATACCTCGGCAAATCCCTCTACTATACAAGTGTTGATATATAATCCTGTTTTAAAAATACATAAAAAGCGAAATATATTTGTTACACTTTTTTAGCTGTAATTAAAAATATGATACAGATGCAAGAGTGTCGTTACGTAAGAAGAAGAACTCCACAGAGGAGCATGCACAGCAGGAGTCCACCGTCACCAGTAGAAAGATACTTCATCGACGATTGTTTCGGCCCATTACTTCCCTAGACAATCTCAGAAGGTGGGTCCGACCTGGTTCATGACACCAGGCCTCAATCTTTCTCTACTGCAGTTTATCGGACTCGACAGGACAAGACGATATTGTGACTTTGCATCAGTTGTTGTGAGATCTGGCTTTATATTATCGCTGCGGTAGCAAATTAGATTAGTCGACCACCTTAACAACCAAAGTGACAGGTTAACGGTTGCTTCATAGGACAGGTGTTAGACTTTGGCAGTTGGCAGAGAAACACTGGCAGACATTTATCGGACACTGGCTTTTAAGAGATAAAAAGCTCCTTTTCACTAGGGGCTCAGACCAGTCTACCGAGGACGATCCCCTATGACGTTTCGTTGCGTCAAAAGCCAGCAAGAAGCTCCTTCAGCAGTGTGGCCTAGTTGTTTTAGTGACCGTTTATGCTCTTTTCCTCTCAAGCCCAGCTGCTTCAGCACACTGTATGTGGAAACGGAGGTGAAACCTCTTGCACCTACCTCGACGGCAACGATTTTTACTGCCTACGCTTCGTCTCTCCTCAGACCGGCCACCAGCTTACCGTAATTTCCGAGCTTGTACATGTGCTTTTCCTTTATCCACGACTCGTACGGCACGGTCAACTCTACCGGGATACGCTGGCGGTTTTTTTTTCCACAGTGCAGAACTATGTTGGGTCTCAGGCCGATCTTTCGGACTGATTTGGGTACTTTTCGAAACCTGGCTGCTTGACAGCCAGCAATTAGTCCTTTGCGCAGTCAGGTATTAATGCTGCCCAGGCTTGAGGAAGCGTATGGGGGCGACGGTAGGACTGGCTCTTCCAACTTCCAATGGCTCTCATCCTGGCTGGGTCCACAATATCCGCCGGCTCTTTCAGGACTTTGTTGTGGCGCCAAGTATATCGTCCCTGGCCTGGGGCTTTACTGCACGCGGACAGTACGTGCTCGAGCGTCTGCTTAGCTCTGCAAAGTGGACAAGTCGGGTCGGTGGTCGCAGACCACTTGGCCATTTTTGCGCCAGAGGGTAATACATCACAAGAAGATGTTATAACAAAGCTCAGCCGCAACTGGGCTATTCGCCAGATTTGACCCCATGTGAGTATTCGCGTAGGTATAAGTGGAGGTCAGTCTCTATGGCTATTTTAGGGTATAAAAATATATTACGGCCTGGAAATGCATCAAGGTTTAGAGATGAGCAATATATCTAAATATAAAGATGTGAGAAAGTAAACTAGTGTATCATAGTCCAGGTTCATGCAAAAATATATAAGGGGGGAAAGGGGGGGGGGGGGGGGGGAGTCGAAATGCGTCAAGTTGAACTTGGGCGATTGTTTTGATAAGTAAGATAAACAAACTTGTCGTCCTGATCTTTAAAGAAAATGAACAACCTAAAATGGTTTATTAGAAGAAGATTTCTAGTTAGTTCCTCATTTACCTAGAGACCATCAACTTTAGGTTAACCTCATTTACCTAGAGACCATCAACTTTAGGTTAACCTCATTTACCTAGAGACCATCAACTTTAGGTTCACCTAATTTAATAAAACAAATTTAAAAAAAAACAGTCGCTTTTGTTTGTTACGTAGACTTTTAAAGTTGGTTTGCTCTAACATTTGCAGAATTTGTAAACTCTCACACAAACAGACTCGTTTCTGACAAGTAAAATACTTCTGCTATATTACTTACCATAGTTTTTTTTAGAGAGAAAAGTCATGGTGGGTATAGTACCTGGAAGAAGAGGCAGGGTTCGAACACAAAGCGGTGGACAATGGATATCAAGGACATGGGAAAAAGAGTACGAGACAATAAAATTGGCGCAGAACCTAGTTGCTTTCCCCAGTGCCTTGACGACTCAAAAGATCTGCAAAGGACATGCTACACGATGACGCTGGTGTATGTACATTAGGAGATGCCAGATAAAAGCCACCAATTTATTCATCCATGAATGAGCCAGAAGTATCTCTGTCAGACTAGGAACACAACTTTGCATTAAATTAATTGACAAACAGTCGTTTATCGCTTTAGTATGCAGCTACACCTACCCCCATAAGTGCTATATTAAAAAAAAAAAAAAGCCTGATAGTGAAGCATAACGTGTACCGATGACATTTAAGACATTACTTATTGGGAAAGACAACAACTTTTGCAACACAGAGAACGCTGGACTGCAAATTGTTCTACACAACTACGTTTAAAGTCAGACGTGAAAGTTCGTGATCGTCATCACTAAAATTATGATAATGATGTTGATAATGATAGTGATGATGATGATGCAGGTGATGATGATGATGTGGATGATGATGATGACTATAATGATGATCAGGATGATGATGACGAGGATGATGACTACGACTAATTTATATACATGATAACCATAGGACGCTGACAATTCAATTCCAAAAAACACCTAAATGACATTCTCCGTGTCTGCAAGGCATTTTCTCCCCCACTTTCATGGCTCTAGCCATCATGGTCATACATGTTTCGACCAGCCAACGCAGAGTTCCAGTACCAATGGTATCAATAACAGTCTGAGTATACTTGGGTCTGGACTTTCCTCTGAGAGTCGGGTCTCGGCTAGATCATGTCTTTAGCCCTCGCTCCATAAATCTCACCAGACTGTGATGGTCAGTTTGCTTTAATAAGGCCTTGCCACGTCTGTCTTAGCATGCATCAGTATTCCACCAAGATGTGCAGACCTAGCCAGTCGGTCTGCCTGTTCATTTCACAACACATTGGCAAACCCCTGAGCATAGATCCGGATATTGCTTTTCACTGTCAACTCACCTAGCCGGGCGAACCTGTCTTCTTCTAGATGCCATTGGAATACTTATGTCATTATTCACGGTACATATTAAATTATCCAATTCAAAATTAATCTGCTGCAAGAGACATTCTGATTATCTGTCTATTTTTGTCGCGTAATGTTTGTGCAGACTGTTGGTAAGCATATGCTGCCAGCACACAGTTTTGTGGACCAGATCGGCTCTTGATTACGTGATCAAAATCATGCGGCTGTCTTTAATTCGCAGGATTTTTCATGGTGCCAACTTTGTACCTATTTGAGAAAGCACGCAATTTTAAAGAATGGCCTAACGGCGCGGGGGATACTCTCGGCGGTGGCGGTATGGGCTATCCTCCGAATAATAGCCACAAAAGCAGCCACAAACAGCAGATTTTCGGGCACTATTTGCAACCTCTGTGTCTCAATTTCCAGACATAAAGGCGTCAATTATCGGTAAGTAGTCCATTTAATTTTCCCTTATTTTTCGTGTTTTATTAATTTCGAGTTCAAGTTTTTGAATGTTTACAACACATGACCTAGTGAGGATTTTTTTTTGGCCGCCATAATATGTGGCTGTTATTCGGAGGATAGCCCAAGCTTCTACTAAAAGGAAAACAATGAAACTTTAAAGCAGTTATAAGCTACACAAAATAACTGACGCAGTTACCTTGAGTTTTTTCTCCTTCTCCGTCACTATGTTTTTCGTGCCAATGACAACGCTGATCATGAAGCTTAAAACAATAAACAACGGTAGGACAATCCGAAGAGAAAGCGATAATAAGTCAGAGTAGAAAGGAGGATACACGAAACTTTTGGAGTCAATTTCAAAGCCAATGGAGTCAGGATTTCCGCCATCTTTTTCTATCCAATACCTGGCCAAAGCTTCGCCAACCAGACTTTGCAGATACAGTACTGCATCATCCCTGTAATCTGAAACAGATTTGTTTGTTTATTGACGTCTACATCGTTATGACTAATACTCATACCTCGGTTGTACAGACCCCCTCCCTGGGGCCAACCCCCACCCAAGCTCCCCCCCCCTCACCCATTTAGTGTACAGTGGACCTCTAATATTCATCCACGGCAATATATCTATATATATAAAATTACTTTTTTTCTGACGACCAGTGCTTGTTCTACCCTAAAGAAGATTGACTGCAAGACGACATCAACAGGTTACACTCAGCATGCAGTAACTACAAAATGAAGATCAATGCTCCACTACACATACAGCTGAATGGTTCTGCTCTGAATCAAGTTAGGGAGTTAGATATCTAGGAAGTATGATCACAGAAGATGGTAGAATTTACAGAGAAATAGAAACCAGATGTCAGAAAGCAAGTTCACTTATATACCAGTTGTCACCATTATTAAGATATCCAAGTATAACTATGAGTGCAAAGAGACAGATTAATAATAGCATATTTATTCCAACATTTAGCTACCAGTGCCAAACATGGACACTATCTAAAGCCTATATACGCAAAATCACCACCTGCGATATGAGATGCCTGAGAAAAGGAGCCAACCTAATCGTCCAAGATCGAGTGAATAATGAAACTATCAGGCACGTTGTGGGAACGACACCTTGCACTAGATTCATCGAGAAACGGCAGATCAAGTGGTTTTGCCATCTCGTTAGAATGCAGCAAGATCAAATACCATCACAAGCACTACATCTCAGAAGATCAACTACAAGAGCAAGAGGACGGCCTCGAAATCATAGATCGACATTAAAGACACTTTACGCCTTTACGGCATGACAATAGCCAGTGGCAGCCAACGTGCACTGGATCGCAAATTATTCCTCCCCACGTCGCTTAACGGCAGAAGTGGTTAATGATGATGATGATGATGATAATGATATATATAAAGGAGCAAACAATGTATTAATTTGCACTAATAGAAAAAAGTATAAAGTTAGAGGAACACACCAGACAACCTAAAAATCGAAATGTGGCTTTTCTGCCTACCCTCGGACGTGAACCAGGACTACAAGAAGTTCGTCACCCGGTCGCCGCGTATATTGTTTTAACCAACTGAGCTAGCGAGCCGGGCTACATCTTGGTCGGTAGCTTCCTAACCCTCTCGGCAGGAGTCTATGTTTTTCAAGGTAATCCAGTAGTTTTCAAGAATCTTACCAAATGTATTCTGTAACGGGACACTTCTAAAACCATTCAATTTGGTATGATCTTTATTTGGCTTCGGGAGTAGTATAAGGCAACTATGCAGCCAGTCCACTGCAGCTGATGCAATACTGTTGCTGAAACACGATGCGACATCATAACCCCAAGTTCCTCATAACTGAAACCTCTCCCATGACTATATCTAACTATATCTTGTCCAAGTGCACTATCTTTTGTTTTCCTCAGCATGTGTTTCATATAGTTTACTTGCACGATGTTCTCATAGTCTTATCTCTGATTTTTCTATTAAGGTGACTAACAACAGCATTTCTTACGGTTCGGTCATTCTTAGCTGTCTGCTCTAAAAATCTTTTCAGAAAAGCCTTCCCCTTTTCGCTGTCAGTTGTCAGCACTTGGCCATTTTCACTTTCGTAAATCGTAAAACATACCAACTGAGTTTGGCCGCTCCCCTTTCGTTTCATCCGCCTACTCAGTTTCTAGAACTTTCCCATTGTTTCATTTCCCCCTGTCTGGTCAAAAAAAAAAAATTCTTTAATTTCACCCCCCCCCCCCCCCTTCTTTTCCCCAGTATTTGCGGCACACAACTAGAACTCGGCAATTTTGACTCTTTTCGTCTTCTGTTGCTCTCATCTCCTCTGGCATAGAAAGAGGCAACATTCGAACTCGTTGCCATTCTTTTATCGCCGCTATTTTTACTTTCCATGCTTGCTCCCCCTCAGAAGCCCGCCATGGTGGCTAAAAGAATTTACTCCTGTGGCCCGTGGCCATGTTTTTCTCACAAAGCGCCCAATAAGCGAACCTGTCTTGTCATGTCTGAAAACTGTATGCGCTTTCTTTACTATGGTCTTGCACAATTTAGACAGCAGGACAGTACATGGCAGATGGTCAACTCTGTGATCGCCAAGTACACTCCATACAGTGCCTGCTTCTGCAATCCCCTAAACCAGTGATCAGTGGCAGTGTCGGCATCGCCTGGCCTCATGGCCATTCTTGTGGGTTAACCATCCTTAATACTGACACTCTGATTCTACCAGAGCGTGCCCCAAGGCTTTTTCCCTGTCTGTTTTTCCCCGACTGATCCCATTCATAGGCGCGTGCGTTAGTCCCCTCAAAGAGGACTCTATAACAAAGCAGTTGTTCAGCATTTGTTATCCAAGTCACTGCTTATTTTTAACAAAGGACTTTCCATGTATATATACATTTACAATGATCCCCTTAAAGCCACTCAAAGCCTCCTATCTCAGTTTGTATCCCTTAAAGTACTTTATTTCCCTGATTCCACTGATTCATATCAAGTGCCCAACGTTGTATTACTTTTCTTACTAATTTACCTTGCCCAAGTTTTTTTCTTGCGTGGTGGATTGATGTATCTACTTTACTCTGAATAATTCAACGTAGTTGTCATAACCCTAAATAGCATTAGGATGTCAAAAGTATCAACTAATTTGTCTAAAATGAGCCCTCCACCACTCTCACAAATTTCAAGCCTAGTCTTATCTGTTTTTGACCTAGTTTTTCTGACACCTGCCCTCCTCTTTTTTTTTCATTCTTCCATCCTCCTGTCCACGTTTTCTAATTTTTACTCTGTCTTCGTTAGTCAATTTAGTATGAGCCATAGTCCTGGTGCACCTCTGCGAGTAGTCCAGCGCCTTTGCTCCCAAATATAATTCAAGTGTGATGTAAACATGCATGAAAGAGCATGTGACCACCAATAGAGCTACAGTCAACCGGTTGTAACCATTTCTGTCAAGAATGTTTAAAAAAAAATTAATATCTTCTTTCAGAAGAAACCGTGGTGTAGCGGCTAGAATCTAATTTACGGATCGGCAGGTCTCGCGTTCAGGTCCTAACGGAGCCCGACATTCTGTTTTTCAAATGACCTTGGCTCCTAGCTAGAACCAGCTTTAAACGGGTACCAGGTAAAGGCCTGGGACGTAAAGTCGGCAGGCGAGATGCTGACCACATCTAAGTACGGATTGGTCTATAAAATGTAAGTCTAGCCCTATATGCCCAATACGCCTGAAAGTGTGGAAAAGAGCCCTTTAACGTCGATAGGTGTTTTTTCATTTAATAAGATTTGCCGTCGGAGCTACGGAGCAAGTGCTCCGCGCTTGACGTCATCTTCAGCAAGCCGCAAAGAGAAAAAAGAAAGCAGAGAAATAGAAGGGCAGGAGCCAGGAGATTAGACAAAAAACAAAACGGCTGGGGTTCAATCATGTGTAAGTGTGTTTTTGGAACTGTCGTAGTGCCAGACAGAGAGGGCCCATACTAGAGAGGTTAATTTACGACTTTGATGTAATCATGCTTCAGGAGCTGAATGCAGATAAAAATTATTGCCCTGGATATGTCAGCCACGTAAACCCTGCTGGGCATCATGGGAGACATGGTCAATGTCTGCTGGTAAAGGAGGGCTTGAAATATGTGATGCTTGACCTGAGTCTCTGGAACAATGATGCTAGAGAGGTGCAGGGAATACAGATGGAGATTGGTGGCCTACGTTGGAACATAATTAATGTATATGCTGCCGTGGGCTCTTTAGTTACAAAACAACAGTGGGTCTGGCTGAAAGACCTGGAGGAGATTCCTGGCAACAGACTCCTCATTTGTGGGGATTTCAATGCACGGAACAATGAATGGGACAGTGCTGGTGAAAAGCGACAGAGAGTTGCCCTTGCTGACGCCATGGTTGATTCAGACCTTGTCTGTTTAAATGATGGGAAGCTAACTAGAATGGCAATGAGGCCCGGCGATGCAGACACGGCTATTGACCTGGCTTTGGTTACCAAGTCAGCAGTACTGGCCACCAAATGGAATGTCCTCGGCGATCATAGAAGTGACCATGTACCACGTTCGGTATTGATTTCCAAATCCAGGAAAGTCAAGGTTTCAAGAGCTTCTTGGCCTTTCAAGAATGAGCGGACTAACACCCTTCTTGGACTCTCCGATAGGGGGCATGTGAGAAGGCCGACAGATCTACTTTTGTGCAGCCTCATTGGTTGACATCAAGGTTGAACAGGAATTGAAAGTTAAAGAGAGCTGCAGTAAAGCATTTAAAGAAAGTTCGAGAGACAGCCCTAAGCTCACAGGAGGAGTTGGAGTGCGCGGAAAGAGATAAGAAAGATACGAGTTTTTCAAGCGTTGTGCGGCAGAGTCCAAGAAAGCAAAATGGATGCATTTTATGAGATTTGGAGCGATGAGGCTAACATATGCATATGCTCAAGAAAGATCGACCCAGCGTAGTAGGACCAATTCATAGAGAAGACGGTATGCTATTAACTACAGACAAAGAGAAGGGAGAATCTTTCTTGAAAAAGTTCATTTCACAGAAAGATCGCAATGATGGAGATAATAGAGATACAGTTAGAGAAGATATGGCAGCCATCTTAAAGAACAAACCTTATGAAGACATCAAGCAGGTAAAACGTGTTCTGAAAAGGGCGAAAGACACTGTGCCCGCGCCCGACGGGGTTAGATATTCCCACATGAAAGACATGAGTGATGCAGATCTGTTGGAGATGGCTGCTTGCTTTGACCAGAGCATTAGGACAGCTTCAGTCCCAGAAGAGTGGATGCACAGCTACCTGATTCCACTTCCTAAGCCTGGCAAGAATCATTCAACACTCGAGGGCTTCAGGATCATAGCCCTACAAACTAACTTTAGTAAAGTGCTGGAGAAGATAGTGGCGGGGAAGGACACGTGGTCAAATACAGCCACTTTTGCCTTTGATAACTTCGAGGGTTTCCAGAATAGACAGGAATCGGAATCGATTAAGAAGGCGCTTGCAGCCGAGTCAGATACAATATCTTGATGAAAGCGCTTTTGGAGAAAGGAGTCTGTCCTTGGTTGGTAAATTGGATAGCAGCTTTTTTGTATACTCGCCGGATAGCTCTCCGCCTGGGTTCATGGACCTCCGAACCATGTATTATATAGCTCAAGGACTATAACATAGATCTGCAATTTCACCTGTACTATTCAATGTTTTTACGAGCAAGATTGTCTGCCTGGAAACACCTGGAGTTGGCAAAATATTGACATTTACAGACGATGTTCTTGTATATAGGAATGGGAGAGATCGGAATCAAATACCTGAAGAGTTACAGGCAACAGTTGCCAAGGTGACTGACTGGCGTACAGAGATGAGTGCTGTAATCAACCTAGAAAAGTCAACCGTACTGTGGTGTTCTTTTGAAAACAGCATTGTTAGAGCTGATGTTCCCAGTCTCAAAATAAATGGCAGGGACATCAAAAGAGACAGCAGACTGCTGTACCTGGGAATCACCTTTGACAGAAGTTTGTCTTTCAGGGATCACATAGAGGGGGTTGTCACAAGGGCTCAAAAAAAGGTCTAAACGCACTAAAGATTATGGCAGCGATGTACATGGAGCAGAGAATTCTGTTCACACTTTACCAGCACTTATTCATCTCAGTGACTGATTATGGATTGGGGTTACTCACTGCCTCGAAGAGTCAGCTAGAGAAACTGGAGCGCATACAGAAAGAAGCTATGCGGCTGATCCTGTGTTGTACAAGAGAAAGCCCGATTGTGTGCATGCGATACATCCTTGCATTGTCGACTATTGCAGATAGGCTAAAGGTGCTGCTAAGTCATACCTCAGAGTAGCTGCAGTCAGGGAACACCCTCTGTATGACGCTTTGGTTGCAGGCAAGGGTCGAAGGATGAAAAGGGGAAAATCCTGGATGGCTCAAGCAGAAAACACAATAAGACAAGTAAGCATGCTGGAGAACATTGGGCGAGGAAAGAAGTGGGTCAGAGTTCCAGCGGGAAAGTCTGACCTGTGTAAGGTTATGGTAACATTGGGCCGAGTGTGCAGAGAATGGCCAGGGGATGCTACGGAGGTTGAAGTCCAATAGTTGATTCACGACAATTCACGCCCAGGTGATCTGATTATCTAAACAGATGGTTCAGTGTTGAGAGGAAAGAGAAGTGCCTGGGGGTTCGTAGCGAAAGCCAATGGAAAATCTTTAGTGCAAAACAGCCTAGCATATGACACCACAACATCTAGCATGAAAATGGAGGTGGAGGTGGTAAGTGCAGCTATCTGGTGGCTACAGAACAAGATGCATACACATGTTGTAATTGTCACAGACTCTGAAAGCATACTGAAAAAGGTGAAAACAGGGGTGCTTCGAGCAAATTGGCTAGCTGCACTGGAAAGGTCACGGGTGGTGAGCATAATTTAGATCTTTTCTCTTGGCAAAGCCAGAGTGGTGTGTAATGAACAGGCAGACAGATTGGCAGGATCCGCACCACCGGACGGTGAATTGACACATGACAAGGCAGATGTGGTGAAGGCCCTTTGGGAACAAGCAACGGAATCAGTAAAGAAAGAAAATTATTATTAGCTGGAGACAATGAGGCACCCGGGTTTAACCAAAGGGTCTGGCCGGCTCACTACACTCAGAGTTAACGCAAGACGGACTTTTCACCAGATTGTGACCAGAACAGTCAGTACTGGAACACTGTGCTCGCTGCTGAAGATGAGGACAGAGCATGCATGGAAATGCCCTGAGTGCTGTGATGTCAATTCTTGACTCGACTCAACTCAACTCAATATCAAGTTAGTCTGATTTACTTCACCACACATTTCTTGTACCCAGTTTAAGCCTGGTCGACCTGGGAGCAAATGCGATTTATAAAAATCCCCCTACCATGCCGATTCAAACCTATAGCCTTCGGTTTGACAGTTAAGCAAGTAGCCACTCGCTGTTCCCAACACAAGGTGGTAGCCAACAGACACAAACATGGATTTCTTGGCCTCGAGAGTGGGACAGGATAAGCGCGCTGAGCTGATCTTTAATCCCTGTAATCGTATGAGATTGAACCATGATGCGTACACCTTTCGGCAATGCACAGGACAATAATGTGAATACAAACTCCTATAATGTCAGTGCTCAAACAGTAAAGTGGTCCTGTAGAGTCTATATTGGAACTCATACTTACTCCAAGTTTTCTGCCGTGGGCTACTGTCCACAAATATTGGATACATGAAATCAGTACCCCATTTGCCACCTAATGAACCAGGTCGAACAGCGAAGGAAACCTTTCTGGGCATGAGCATGCTTGTAGTTTTGACTCCGTGAAAGACAACGATCTGCCGCATGTATATAAAATGAGTTTGGTAGAAGGTGACGCTTTCCTCTTCTGTCCTGAACCCTTTCATGGAAACTTCAGATAGAAAAAAAAACAGTTTTAAAATTTGTTTGTTGATAATGTGTTTTGCCTCGGGCTGGTAACTCCAGCCAAGTGTACTTGCTGTCCGTTCATGCCTCGACTCTCTTTAGGAACCTAAATTTTGCGCGCGCAAAAGATCTGACTTTAAACTGATCATTTTACAGATCTGATTAGTTTTTCTTTTCTTTTTCGTTTCCTTGTCTTTCAGGCTGGTGAACTTCGACTTTGAAGAAAGGAAGGCAACTCACAAGATTGTTTTTCTCTTCATTGCGGTAAATAAATACGTATGACTCTTTCAGTGCCAGAAAACACAACATACGTTTCTTGTACATTTGAAAGATAATATTTCACTCTTTGTGTTTGCAATTCTAGAAATATGTTGTACTGAACATTCATATTAGAAAAATTGGCTTCTTTCTGTACCATGTGTCTTTTTTAACTGTTAATCTTGTTTTTCAAACTATATAGTTTTTAAAAATGAAACAATTCGGTGTCTAAACCGATTTAAACGGTGGTGAAAGGAGGGAGGGGGTGGAGGTCTTAGGTTTCGACTCATTTTCCATACCTCAAGGTTGTAAATTAAAAAGCACTTTTTTTTGTTTGGTTTGCTACGATCTTTCCCTTTACTCTATCTGAAATCCCCAGCGTGATATTTTACCACACCAGGACATCAAACCGAGCGATGAAAAAAACCCATGACACAAAGTGCCACCATTCGGATGAGGATCACCTGGGGACAGGGTCACAGAAACCCCGTTCAACCCATCAGCTGAGTTATTTTAGGATCCCTGGCAACCGCTGGAGTGGGGCTTCGAATCTCTAGCCAGATCTTTCCCTGTGATGAGCCGAACCATCGTCCTACATTATTGCCTAATCTAGCCAGATCTTTCTCTGTGATGAGCCGAAGCATCGTCCTACATTATTGCCTAATCTAGCCAGATCTTTCTCTGTGATGAGCCGAACCATCGTCATACATTATTGCCTAATCTAGCCAGATCTTTCCCTGTGATGAGCCGAACCATCGTCCTACATTATTGCCTAATCTAGCCAGCGTTTTCATCTATCAGTTAGACCTATAATTCTGCCATACCTTTACACCACTCTCTACATTAGTGTTTCCCAACGTGGGACCAACGCCTCAACGAATGGGGGGGGGGGGGAGGGGGAGGGGAAGGAGGGGGGGCGGGTGGCCGTTTGATTGTTTACAAAATCTGGGGGGAGGGGGAGGTAGAGGGGGGTTCAATTTAATTGTTAATGGGGACAATTTGATTGTATATGGGTACAATTTGATTGTTAATTGGGACAATTTGATTGTATGTGGGGACATTTTGATTGTTAATGGGGACAGTTCGAAAATGGACGTGTCCAGAGTTTAAGTTACATAGGGGGCAAAAGAGTTTTAGAAAGGCTTAGTTGGGGCATAGCACAAAAATGGCTGGGAATCACTGCTCTACATTCTCTTCCTAATGTGACAATGACCTGATGGAAACTGCTGTTCTGTGTGTTCCATTCACACCTATTATGTATTCGCTCGACTAAGGCCACCAGCTCAAGGATATTTTCCGCCAGAATAAAACAAGACCTTTCTCTTTTCAGCCGGTCTCCTCTCAAATCTTTCAGATCGCCAAGTTATTCCATAAATGGGATATATCAGGTTCTAGGGTTATGCTATCCCTGGGATGCGTCAAGTTCTGGGGTTATTCCAGACTAGATATTAGTCAGGGTCTAGGGTTGTCACCACGGGGATATATCAGATTCTAGGGTTATGCGAGCTTTGGGATGTCAGGTTCTGGCATTATGCCAGACAAGATATATGGAAATGATTGGGGTTAATGTCGGATTAGGAATATGTCAGCCTAGGGCTTCGGTGACAGGTTCACCCACTGGCTCGCTCGTATACGACTTCGTAGCCGGTCAAGACAGTATTTAGGTCTGTCTCATTTGGTTGCATCAACACTGCAAGTGTCCTTTTCATGGCTCCTGGTAGCGTGTAGTGCTAAGCCATTTTATATGGCGCACATAACCTAGCCACAATTATAAACCAAAGCTCATTCTTTAAGGGTGCTAGCTAAACATAATTTTTTTAGTCACGAGAGTCTAAGAATATGCCAGCCTAGAGATATGTCAGTTTCTAGGGTTATGCCAGCCTAGAGATATGTCAGTTTCTAGGGTTATGCCAGCCTAGGGATATGTAAGTTTCTGAGGTCATGCCCGCCTATGGATATGTAAGTTTCTGAGGTCATGCCAGCCTAGGGACATGTAAGTTTCTGAGGTCATGCCAGCCTAGGGATATGTAAGTTTCTGGGGTTATGCCAGCCTAGGGATATGTAAGTTTCTGGGGTTATGCCAGCCTAGGGATATGTAAGTTGTTAGTTTTATGCCAGCCTAGGGATATGTAAGTTTCTAGGGTTATGCCAGCCTAGGGATATGTCAGTTTCTGGGGTCATGCCAGCCTCGGGATATGTAAGTTTCAGGGGTTATGCCAGCCTAGGGATATGTCAGTTTCTGGGGTCATGCCAGCCAAGGGATATGTAAGTTTCTAGGGTTATGCCAGCCTAGGGATATGTCAGTTTCTGGGGTCATGTCAGCCTAGGGATATGTAAGTTTCTGGGGTCATGCCAGCCTAGGGATATGTAAGTTTCTGGGGTTATGCCATCCTAGGGATATGTGAGTTTCTGGGGTTATGCCAGCCTAGGAATATGTAAGTTTTTGGGGTTATGCCAGCCTAGGGAAATGTCAGTTTCTGGGGTTATTCCAGCCTAGGGATAAAGGAAGTTTATAGGGTTATCAAAATATAGGGATATGTTGTTGTTGAAAATGGCGAACTATTTACAAACATCTTTGTAGGATATGTAAGTTTCTGACGGGGCATTTGCCAGCCTAGAAGATAATGTCAGTTTCTGGGGTCATGTCATAAAGGGAACATGTAAGTATTCTGGGGTCATGCCAGCCTAGGGATATGTAAGTTTATAGGGGTTATGCCATCCTAGGGATACTGTGATTTTCTGGGGGTATGCTTCAGCCTAGGAATATGTCTTCCCAGTTTTTTAGGGTTATGCCAGCCTAGGGGATATGTCAGTTTCTGGGGTTCTTCCAGCACTAGGGATATGTAATTTCTGTAGGGGCTGTTGCCAGCCAAGGGATATGTCAGGTTTCTGGGGTTATTACCAGCCTAGGGATATGTAAGTTTCGCTAGGGTTATGCCAGCCTAGGGATATGTCAGTTTCTGGGGTCATGTCAGCCTAGGGATATGTAAGTTTCTATGGTTATTCCAGCCTAGGGATATGTAAGTTTCTGGGGTTATTCCAGCCTAGAGATATGTAAGTTTCTGGGGTTATGCCAACCTAGGAATATGTAAGTTTCTAGGGTTATGTCAACCTAGGGATATGTCAGTTTCTGGGGTTATGCCAGCCTAGGGATATGTCAGTTCCTGGGGTTTATTCCTAGCATTCGTCTGATTTCCTTATTTCGTATTCTGTCTGTTAAAAAAAAAATCCTGCAGTTATTTAGTAAGGCATTTTGGATCTCTGTTGTCACAATTTTACGTTCATTGGAGGATGTAAGTGTCCACGTTTGGCATTGATAGCATAGTGCTGGCCAAAAAATAGTTCTGATAAGATTCACTTTAGTACTCCGAGGTATCTGCCTATGTGTCTGATTACAGGCGACACAATCTTGTGTTCACATCTAAACTGTTGCAGTTCGATCTCTTCCCTTATAATTCTCTCTGCATTCCACTGCATATTCTTTAATGTGCACCCATTAATCTTGCGACTGTGATGAGCAGAGCTACCCATCAGCAGTATGGGGTGGGTCCCTCTGAGGCTCGGAGTCCAGCGTACTTTATTACTGAAAACAGTAGCATGTATTAGCAATCTATACTTTAGTACAGTAACAGGCGAGCAGATCACAGGACCAGGAAGGACATTATCGTATGCTGATGATGTTTAGTTGTACCGTCAAGGTAGAGGCCAGGTATTGGTTGCCGAGAGCCTTCACACAGAACTTCATCGCATAAACAGGTGCTGTTATGTAGTGGGATGAGTCGTTATTTTGTCAAAGCCAGATTTCGGGTGTTTAATTCAGAAATTCCTGTAAGCCGGTTTACTCCGTAGGCATGAATACAGGGGACTTCTTTCCTAGAGACGCTAAGTTTTGAGAAAACATTCTTTCGCCTATTTCCTAAGTGTCAAGACGTGTATACAGTCTAGGTAGAAATTGGCGCATTCAAAGTTCCAGTTCTATCTTGGAAGAATTCCTAAGCTTGGGTAAGTTGATTATAGTTTACGAGTACCATAATATATGTTTTTTTAAAGTTGGCCACTGCTGCAGAGAGGGAATATTCAGCTGTGTGATCGCACAGAATTGGACCGTTCTTGATGTCCAGAGATCAGGCTCCGAACATTAAACCTTTTCCTGTGCAGACCAATTAGTTTGTGCTCTACCTAATCCACACCATTTGTAAAGATATTAAACCCTACAAGTAATTATTCTCTGACTAGACAAGCGTAGTTTTGTGCCGCCTAGCAGAAAAATGGTATCTGTGTCATCTTTTAAAGTAACTGCATGACGTCAGTGTTAGACGCTCTGAGTCGAAAGTGTGTTTGACACAGATTCAGTGGGTGTGTAGTGAGCAGCCTGTGGAGACGTGGAATCTATATAGGTACTAACTGTATACATTGTATGTCTGCGAGTCCAGATGTGAGGGTGGAGAGAGGATGATCTATGTATGGTAGTGTCTATCTATCTCCACTATATACCTTGTTTTCTATCTGTTGCACTAATTTACAGACAGATAAATGAAAGGAGACATTGTCTCCTGTTCTTGAGAGTTACACTCTGAGGAATGGAGAAGGGCAGCAGAGGTGGGGTGAGCTGATGTGTGATTAAAGTTGATTACTAATTCTGAGTTCTTTTCTGACAGGATGATACCTCCTTAGAGATCAGGCAGACGAATCACAGTCCAGCCAACAACCACCAACCCATACCATTCTGGGCACAAAGCATACCCAAAAGTCCTGCCCATTGTGCCACTACCTCAACATGGCAAGAGCTTATTTGTGAGTTCCAGGACGAGTGGACAATTGCAGACATCTGTGTCATCAATCCAGAGAACCAGTCTTCAAGAGCTTTGTTGGGCTCTGATGCAGTTTTTGTGTCCTGACCGGTGAGAGAGTCAGCGGTCACCACAATCTCCAAGAGTCTTGTTGGGTTCCTTTGCAGTTCCTAATTCCTCGCTTGTGAGATAGTCAACTTGTACCAGATCAAATCGAGGCATTGTTACCTATTGAGTCAACTACAGCCGAATCACCATGAGGGGAGCATTGACCTATGAACTGGGCTAAGTGATCACTTATTCATTGTCATGCTCTCTTCCCACAGCACCTTGAGATTTTAATGATGAACTCATGTAATGTCCAGGAACTACATCTGGCTGCTTCAACATCTGGGTTGTGTCATTTATTCCTGAACTCCATTCACTGAACTTTCTTGATGATCTATTTATTTGTATATGTATATATATTGAACCTGTTACATGCAGAAATTTTCATGGCTGACTTGGGTGTCCCTGTTTCACCATTCTAACTGTCTAGCTTTGATGTTTGTGTGAGTAATAAGTGTTATCTGTGTTAACATGGCTATGATAGTATACTATTATAACCTGGGGGCTACCTCTTTATAGTAGTGGGGGTGTCCAGCCAAGTGTGCCTAGGAATATTATATATTTTGTAGTGCCAAAGCTTGAGTTGCCCTACTCCTGAAATAAGTTGAGCGTATATTGACCACGGGATATCCCTTAGACCAATACGAGCCAACGACTCAACATAATTATTTCAGAGTGCTGTTTGTTCTTAAGGAGAAATCCTTAAATCAGGCACGTGACAGGAGCGATATGTGACACTAGAGTCTGATCCTATCTGTAATTGCTCTTAGCCGTACATGGGTAGATAGACTAGACTGGATTCAGAATGAGGCCATGCGCATCATACTTAAATGGAAAAAAAAAATACAGCATGCAGAGCGATGCGTTACTTTCTTGATATTCCAAACATGGAGGTGAGAACACCAATCTGCCGAGCACCTGCGTATCAGTGCTGATACACAGTACATATTGGACAATGAGATTCGCAAGAAGAAGGGTAGCAATAAAAAAAAAAAAAAAAAAGGAAAACTCTGGGTGGTTAAGACTGAGGACACTATTCAACAAGTTTTATTCAGCTGAGGGCATACAACCTTTCACAATTCTGTTTCGAGGGAAAAACTTTGAAAGAAGATAGCGGGGCTTTTGCCTAAACCTAAACAACACATAAAGTGACTATGGAGGCGATGGCGGTATCAAATGCAATGATGTGTCTAGAGACAGCATTCCACATGCGTGCTTTCTGATTCCAGGAGCGTGCTTAAGAAGATCGAGACAGGATGGATTCGAAGAACATTGTTGCAGTCGCTGAAGCTATCTCGTCTGAAAAGAATTAGTTTCATATTGTGGTGCCAGGAGACTCTGCGATAAGCGGTAATGAATGAGCGGACTGGCTTGCTGCCAGGGCCACGGTCGATACAGGGAAATCAATGGACGTTTGTGCAGTTGTCCGATGTGCAATTAGGAAACTCTGTCAATTACTAACCAACTGACTAACGTTACTACAGTATACAAAACTGTACCATTCTAAATTATACAGTACCATCCCACCCCGTAACATGTTCTACTACAGCTGTTTTAGGCTCGTCCGAGTGGCATAATTGCGTTTTACCTGTTTGCAGCAAAGCTGCGATATTTGCGCCTTTCGGCCGACACATCCGACTTCACGGATAATTTGTTGACCAGATTAGCTTTCCAGTCTACCTTATATAGGAAAAATAAAAATTAAAAGACACTGTTTACGCCACGGTGCAATAGGCAAACCATGCAAAACTCATATTGTAGAAATTAATCGGCACTACGGTTGATGTGGATAACATCACGATGGCCGCCTTTACTTCCCATGATTTTTCTGTCGCATCCGTTTTAGACCAGGTCGACCTGTGAGCCAAGATAATCATTAAAACTTGCCCAAATGAACACAAGAGTGTTGGGCAACGCGCTGTTGTGGTTTTTTAATATTATATATTACGTGTAATAGAGTACTCACGGTTTTGTTCGGGCGGCATGTATCTCTTCATTAAGATCAAGACATGGCTCATGATATCTGAAGTTGCAGGGGATGCCGGTACGTACCCAATCATTCCATTCTCTTCGGAGAAAAAAGCAGGATGAGTGACGATGGTATTATTCTCAAAATATGTAAAGTTTGAAAACACAGTGGGCGATACACCGTTACGGACCAAGGTTATCACAAAGCTGAATAGTGCAGGCAGGATTACCTCGAAAATCGAGATAACTAGTCGACGCCTCTGTATCAGCCAGTTTTTCCACATCAACAAAATCACTTGACTGCCCAATGTCATTGTCGCTTTGCTGGTCTTCTGTGTGTCTCTAGGGTCCGGCAGACTGCAAACACACTCAAAGTTTCTAGTGCGTTTCTGTGATTCCACAGCTTCTACATGTCAAAGTTTCTCGGTTGTATGTTTTCGTAGCCTTGCAGGTTGTAGACGCATGACAAGTTAATCATCTGTGTCTCTATAGTCCAACAACTTGTAGGTGCATTAGAGGTTTCTCTTGTGCGTTTTTTGTGATTCTGCAATTGTAGACGATCTGAAAGTTGCTTAGGCAGTGCAGGCTGTAGGTGTCTTGACAGTTTTTAGTGTGAGGTTCTGTTGTACTGTAGATGGAAAATGTTTTCAAAGCACGTTTATTCAATTCATTTACAAAGGAAGTGCACAATGATGGAGCCGCTCTACACATACTTTGCAATTTATGTAGGAGTGTTAATCAATTTAGTTTAATTTATTTATCTATTATGTTTTAGCAGAGGTTCTCATCTATTCTAATAGCAACCTTAAGAACTCCGCATGCACTTCTCGTCGGCAGCATGGTTACGCTAGAAACATAAATACAGACTGAATGATATTAGATATTGAGAAGCAGAATATCAGAATCAAAAACAGACCACTAGAAATTACATTCTTAATGGAATTTGAAATCGTATATGGCGTCCCCTGTAGTTGATCATTCTGCTGTTAGTAGCACCACAATTATGACAGGAGCTCAAGAAAAGATGACTGGGGACTATTTATGAGTACTAGGTTGTACCCCACCAGGACTTCACACAAACTATTAACACCCGGTGACACAAAGTACCACCATGCGGATAAGGATCACTCGTGGAGAGGTCCCGGAAACCCCGATTAGCCGTTAGCCCATATTTAGGGCCTGGCTGTATTTCGAGCCCCTGGCAAAAGCCAGAGTGGGACTTCAAAATAACTAAAACTTGCATCCCAAAAGGGGGCGACGATTATATATGACTACTAAATATGTTTAGCGCTTAAGGTCATCGCAGATTTAGCAGCTCACTGTGAACTTCAGTTCGAGTTTCAAAACCAAATTTTGCTGGGATGTTCGCGGCATTTACAAGATGATTTCAACATCTTTTCGTGAAAGCAGAATCAGTACTGCTGCCTTTATCACCTGCATATCTATGAAAGCAGAATTCTTTTCTTTTTGCCATCATCATCACGTGCCTTGACGACTGGTGTGGGTCATCATGCCTGCGTTTAAAAATCTTGGCTTATAGTTAAGGTGAGTTAATTACCAATATCATAGCAATCAGGGCCAGTTCCATAAGCGATGCGTACCCATCTTTGGCAGCCAGTTAAGAGTTTCAGTTTTGACGGTGCCAGTGACTGTTTGTTCGTCCCGCCTTTCCCGTGTATGTTGGGTGACGGCCACATCCCCTGGTCACTCCTCTTTGCACATTTCCTTCTGCCACTGATGATATATACATGTTTCAGCACTGTTGATTCGCTCTCAAAAGGCCTTACAGCATTTAGCTTGTCATGCGTCATTTTCCCACCAATTTGTGCAGAGCCAGCCATTATATCACACAGTTCGTTTCCCAATACACGTATATGTTATGGAGACAGTTTTCAAAGGACGATAACTATACGATTTCTCTAAAGCTATGCTTGACACTCTGCACGGAATAGACCTCTCTTAAGGTATTCCGTGAGTCAGTTAAAATGACGGAATATGTGTGTGGCTGGTTCTCAAACCAGCAAAAGGCTTCTGTAACTGTCTCCACCTCCATTCTTAGATTAGATATGGTATCGACTAAGAACTGATTTCAAGACGTAAATGCGATGAAGTTGGAAAGCATTTTTAAACAGTCAGCTAGCTATGATAATTGAGCTAATAAAACATTTTGAATTCATAAACTAAAGAAACCAGTACTGAATCTCTCTATAGTTTATGTTTATGTTTATTCAACGGATTAGCGTCATGTCGCACGGTCGTAAACCATAAGTGCTTCGTTCTTCTTCTAACTCAAGCCTGAGTCCGAAGAATCTCAACGCAGTGCAAGAACTCATGTTGCAGCGATGAGGATCCTGAAATATCTTGGGTAGATTTGTAACTCTAAATTTTGTCCGGGCAGCGCCGTTAGGCTACTCTGTTTGATTTCCAACTGCAAAAACATTGTTTAAGTGCGCAACAATGCACAATGGAATGGGCGTCCTATCTTACAGAGACCAGAGGGAAATCACTAGAAGTCCAAGTGAAAAAACCCGGGACCTCTAGTACCCGAGGCAGACACCATGCTTCGAGACCACGCAGCCCCCTATAGTTGATATTGCACTTTAAATAAAACCACTGGAATCTACAAATCTTTACCAAAAGTTTAGTGAACAGCTGAGTTGTAACCTCATATTTGAAAACAGGGTCGGGAATGAAAAGAAAACAATACCTTGCAATGTGTTTAGCTCAACACTTATACCGTTCATCTAAACTACACAAACATATAATGACATACACTTCTTTTGGGCAGGACAGTTTATATTTTTGTCATAAACACAATTTATTGTTATCACAAACAACCCCAACAAGTTGGGTGGAATACGTCATGTGTTGTCAACAGTCCGTTTCCGTTATTAGTGTTTACAAGAGTATGCAATATTTGAATTTCATGACATCATCAGATCATCATCATCATCATCATGTGCCTTGCCGACTGGCGTGGGCGATCATGCCACTCCATAATCTGCGATCTCCTGCAGCATGTATCAGTTCGTGTGCCGACACACCTCCATGCCATGCAACAAGACTGTCAAGCATCTTCTCCTCGTTGTCTGTCCTCTATCTCTCCTTCCACATAATCTTTCCAGTGGTCGACAACATGTTCTATTTTCCCTCTTCTCATAACAATGGCCGAAATGATGACTGTCCGTCCTTCTGATGTCTTGATAAGTTGTCTTCGGGCTCCCGTCCTCTTTCAAAGCCTCTTGGTTGCTCTTTTTGGCTGTCCAAGGTATTCTAAACATTCTTCTGTAAAACCACATCTCCGAGGCCTTCAGAAATTGTTAGGCCTGCCTCCCGATTGTCCAGGATTCACAGCCATATGTTAAAACTGGATGTATGTAGCAAGCAAGAATTCTTTTTCTAACTCTCAATGACAATGATATATTGCACAAGATGTTTTTCATTTTATAAAATGCAGTTTTTGCCTGTCCTATTCTATTTCTTATCTAAGTTATGCATCTTCCATCTGATGTTATCCATGTGCCCAGATACTTAAATTTATGTACTTGTCCTAAAATAACACCATCAACTTTTATTACACATTTAGGAATAATTCGTTTCTTTGATACCACAATTACTTCTGTCTTCCCATTATTCAAACTGAGGCCCATTTTTCCACTTTCTAACACCACAATGTCTATCATTTCTTGTAGTTCTTTCTGACTTGTTGCTATCAAGACTGTGTCATCAGCATAACGTAAATTGTTTATATTGTGCCCACCAACCACAATTCAGGGCATACCAATTAAAGCTCTCATTATATATTCACTGTATATTGAAAACAAATCAGGTGACAGTACACATCCTTGTCGTACGCCCCTCTTTATGCTTTGAAATGTACCTAAACAGTTGTTAATTCTTATAGCTGCTGTTTGCTGCCAATACATACTCTTTATTATTCGTAGATCTTTCCCATCAATGTTTAATTTTTCTAACAGTTTGATTACTTCTTTATGCTTCACAGTCAAATGCTTTTGTATAGTCTATGAAGCATATGTACAAATCAGTCTTTACTTCTATAGCTCTTTCTGACAATGTCCTTAGGATGTATATGGCATTGTTTGTACCTTTTCCTTCTACAAATCCACATTGTTCATCGCTGATTTCTGGTTTAATTTTGTTTCTTATTCTTCTCATAATTATTCTCAGTAAAATCTTAATCATGTGACTCATAAGACTTATTGTGCGATGGTCTTCACATTTTATAGTGCCTGGTTTCTTAGGCAGAGCTTTAAATATGGATTTTAAAAAGTCATTTGGAATATACCCACTATTATAAATATCATTTCAAAGTTTAGTTATTATTTCAATTCCAAAATCTCCCAGTGCTTCGATTTCTTCCAGTGAGATGTTGTCTGGCCCGGGTGCTTTTCCTTTCTTTATATGATGTATTGCATCCTAAACTTCTGCAGTCATTATTGGTGGACCATCAGTTATGATCTGCAGTTCTACATCTGGTCTATTATCATCATACAATTCCCCTAGATACTCTGTCCATCTGTTAATTATATTACTTTGTCCCATTAATAAGTCACCATCTTTTGATTTCAAACATCCAGTGCTGTTACTTGTCATCTTTCCTGTTAACATATTTATCTTTTGGTACGTGGAATGTGAGTCTTTTCTGTTGTTTTCCCCAATCTCTGTACACATTTGATTCAACCAGGCTTCTTTAGCCACTTTGCATTTGTTCACCAGTTCTTTTTGTATTCTAGAGTATTCTTCTTTTTCATTCTTTTTCTTCCTTCTTTCATCCATCAACTGCAGAATTTCGGTTGATATCCATTTCTTTTTTTGCAACTCTATGGGTTGGTGTGATTGTCTCTTTAGATGTCTGCTGAATTGACTTACGAAACATATCCTACTGTTCATCAATAGTCTGTATAATTTCCAGACTATTGATGAACAGTCATCAGATATTGCCACCAAATCCAGTGAGAAACAGAAGATGAAATGGTTTGGTCATCTTGTTAGAATGCGGCTGCAACCGTAACCAGTACAGGCTCTACCAATGTAAAGATTTTTTGTGAAATCAAGATTCGCCATATAAGAAAATAGATGGACTACAGTAAAGACTTGTTTGCTCAATCGAGACGGAATGAGCTTTGAGGTTCGAACAACGGATCAACATCATGGCACACTGGTAGTAACCCATAAGTGCTCCGTTCTTCTTCTAACTAAAGTCTGAGCCCGAAAAAGCTCAGCACCGTGCACAGGCACTGTAGCACCGGCGAGGATCCTGAAATGCTTGATAAATTTTGCCCGGCCACCGCGG